TTTTTTTTTTTTTTTTTGGGAACTGTAGAAAAAGAAAAAAAAAAAAAAAAAAAAAAAAAAATTCGGGTGGGAACAGTACCCGTGAACAATAACGATTTTTTTTTTTTTTTTTTTTGGTGAAACTGCTGAAAAATCTATTAACAAAAAACTGAAATTCCGGGTGTGAACAGTACCCGTGAACAGTGATTTTTTTTTTTTTTTTCACCTAAGACCGAAAATTGAAGAAGAAGAAAAAAACTGCTGCCTGTACCAAATATTCTTTAAGTTCGTGCTGTTCCAACAGATTTTGGGAAAGAAATATGAATAAATTTTGGATTAAAGAAAAGAAATTACCCATGATTTGGCTCTGATACCAAATTTGATGTAGGATGGGTAAGAAATAAAGAAGGAACGGGAAGGAGAAACAGAGGGAAGGGAGAAGAGGAGAAGAAACCAGGGGAAGAGAGGGGAGGGAGAAAACGACTGCAAGCCACCAAAAATATTTCAATTTAATTCATCATCAACTGTCTCAAATGAGAAACAAAACAGAAATAAATAGTAGAACACAAACCCTAAAGAGAAGGGCTTGGGCCAAACCCACTAAACAATCCCAATAACAGAAATATAAATAATAATCCAAATAGAATATAACTAATAGTCCAAAAAGAAAATAAATAGTAAATGGAAGAAAATAAATAGTAAATGGATGTCCGCATCAAACAGTCATTTACCTTTTACTCTGTTTCATAAAAACATTAAAAATATCTTTTGTTACATATTTGTAGGTCTTCCCTGGAACAAAAGGACCTGCATTTTGCGAGCTTGATGCTTTCTATGATAATTTCAAAATGGATGAAGTTGACTTGGATATCAAGAACTATGATGAACTTTTTGGTGCAGCTCTTGATAATACCGAACAGCTCTTTGACAACGATGAGATTGATGGATTATTTGGGACAAAGGACATGTCTGTCTCCAACTGTCAGGGTGCTAATGCAGCTGAGGTGATTCTCAAAATGAGTCACTATCTCATTTATTCTGTTGCATGTGACCATTGCAATTTAATAGTAAAGAAAAGTTTCTTTTTGTTGTTATTATTATTTTGAATTGCTGCTGAAAAACCCCGTCTTTACCGTGATCCATGTATCTCGATTTTACATAATGATGATAGGGAGTTATGAGCAAAATGAAGATTGGAACAAAAAAAAAGTAGATGAAGAGTCATTGTGTTGAGGTACTTGTACCATTCTTGTCAAATACATTTAGAAACTAAAAAATGTTAGAGCGTGGCTGAGAAAGAAAGAGAATGTTCTTGTGTTGAAGTTTAAAGATTCAGTACATGATATAGTTCTATTTTGTTTTTATTTTTTACTAGGAGGTCAATACTACATTAAAGAGATATTGACATGCATGGCATGAGTTTCAAACTTTCAAATATTTATGGAACTATTGCTAGGACATTGTTTAGATATGAAAGGTTCCAAAAGAATTAGTATATAAAATCCTCTCACATTATATGGTGACGTGAATGGCCTTAGTTTCAATTAGCCAAACTCTAATTCGATAAATTTGATGATATTATGCCTGTAATAGATCTAAGTTTATATCTTTTCTCATTAATTGTGGATAAAAGCAAAGGTCCTCAGATCCATGTTGTCGGGAATGACATGTTTACCTAATGTAATTACAATCTGAAGTATGTGAGTGGCAGCAGTTGCAGTCACACTTCCATTGATAGATAGTTTGTCCTTAAAGAAAACAAAGCTTTGCAGTATGCCAATTAATCACTTGATGCTAAAGCTATCCTAGACTCATTTTTGCATGGCCTTCTATGCTCCAATAGGGTAAATATTTTTATCTCCCATTTACCTCTATTTTACATACTCTATTTTAAAGATTGCTTTTACTTCATCATCTCTCCCATTTCTACTCTAGCAATTAACGATTACTAATGATCTTTACTGTTATTTAGTCCTTTGACCTTCTTGAACATAAAAGCATTTACTTTGTATCTTATTAGAGCCACCGCACTGATTAAACCATTGCTACGCCCCTTAAGATTCCTAGAATCTTCAAAATTCTTGGTGCTCTAACTTAGTCCTAATTGCCTAACTTAGTCCTAATTGCTAAGTGTAGATGAATCTTGGACTGGTACTCAGTACTTGAACCCACTACACACAGTCTCTCCCTGTGTGTGCATGTGTTTGTGTATCTGTGTGCATCTCTCTATGTGTCTCTGTGTGTTTGTGTATGTGTGTACTTCTCTCTATTTTCAAGAAAGAATCAACTTTAAATATTGCTGAAGTTGTTTCATCACATTGTGTGCTGATTGCAATACTTCAATACCAGTTCCTACTCAAAGCCAAACTTTGTCTATATTTCTTCACCAGCATCAATTCTCTGCTACGGAAGCTTAATTGATGTGCTATTGACTTTGATTGCTTATTCAACCTACTTTTCTGGAAGTCAGCAAGCTCTACAGAGCACTATTTTAATCACTGTATAAATAATATTTGTCTAAAAATTTGTCTTTAGATTGGCTAGGAAATTCACGTGAGATAACTAGTTGTGCTTAAGAGTGTGGGGATGTGGCTTTATTTGGTGGATATGGTTGGCTTTTGGAACACGGAACACAATCTCAGTTTAATCATTGTTGTCCGTGTTCCATTTAAATGGTAGTGGGGGTGATGAATGGGGTAACTCGTGCCTGCGTGATGTTACTCTCGTTTGAAAAAGATAAGCGGTAAGCTTGTCATGGTCTGAGCCTTGGACCAGCTAGGGAAATATAGAATAGTTGGTGAAGCATTGAATATCCTTTTCTTCTCTTGTGGGAAGGAATGAACTGCTGAGAAAAACAAAGACAATCTGGTTATTCACAGTTACATGTTGGTGCTGTTCACCTTCTTTCACTTAGGCACAAGATGTTTACGTTTCTCTCAGTGAAGAAAAGGGAAATAGAGAAGGAAAGGAAAGGAGAAAAGTATGGGAAGAGAGGTGAAAGGTGAGTATTTCAGAAACATTTGTAAATTCCAAGATATTATTGGTGGCTACATTACATCGACTCGTCTAAACGTATAGAGTACCTTCTGAACCATCAAAAATTGGACTTGGTTACCGAGCCCATGCTTCGTAATGCTATCTGACATAGGAAATATATAAAATCTTTTAATTTATTCTTTAACTATTTCAGATACATTGGAATCCTGCATTTGAATACTTGGGTTAACTTTGGAAATCATTATAACATAGAAATAAAGGATTATAGTTCAAATTATTGATATAATGCGTTATCCACGTAAACTTTAGAGGTCTGGCAAATCCTGTATTTGGACATTTACCTCTACCCAAAGTCCGAGTAACGTAGACCATGGGAAGTAATATAGAATTATTGCAATTTATCAATACATTGAGTTTCATGTTATAAAGTCTTTCTTGTCTAAGTAGTTGAAAAGATGATGACAGAAGATAAAGGGTAACAGATGAATGAAGGGAAAACAGGGTGGAGGAAAATTGATGAATATTCTATTGGCATGGCTCACTGGTTCTGAAAATGCCTGTTTTATATTCCAGTGATAGAATGGTTCATAGAGTAAAGCTGCTTAAACTTTGTGTTTGGCCTTCATATGGTAGTTTAAGTTATTTATAGCACTTTAAAATGAAACAAGTTAACTGTCATGGACCGCAACTTTGTCTGTGAGACCACTGGGGAGTTCGGTTGACATTGAGTTAAAGAGAGTTGCATAGGCAGCATGTTGGTGCATTGAGAACAGAGTCTTAGCAACGGAGTTTGGAAGTCGTTTTATGGAGAGTTTGCCTAATGGGTTGGGAAGCTTTCCACGAATTTTGAAGTCAATCTGAGTCCGTTTGGTCAAGTAATGAAGGGGACGTAAAGCTATGTTGCTCGGACTCTCCATTTTGGATGAAGTACTCATATCGTGTCGCCACAAGGATAATGGTGTTAAATTCATATCGTATCATATATATATATATATATATATATATATATATATATATATATATATATATATATATATATATATATATATATATATATATATATATATATATATATATATATATATATATATATATATATATATATATATATATATATATATATATATATATATATATATATATATATATATATATATATATATATATATATATATATATATATATATATATATATATATATATATATATATATATATATATATATATATATATATATATATATATATATATATATATATATATATATATATATATATATATATATATTGGTATTAAATTTAAAACGATTTCTATTTTTATCTCACAATTTTTTGACTTGAAAAGTCAAATAAAGTATTACAATCTGCAATGTAATTTGTTTAAATTTACAATCAAACATATAATTTATATATCCCTAAAAATGCATCTAAAAAAAATGTATCTAAAAATCTAAAAAATCTTATTCATAAATTTTATAAATTTAAGCTCTAATGACGTATCCACGTACCTAGTCCAAAATTTTGGATCCTTATTGGGCATATCCTCATATCTTGGATTTTAGGAAAGAAATGATTTGTGACATGTCTCTTGCATTCATGCCCGTGACAAACAACCGCACCTGAGTCCAAGCAACATAGATGTAATGAGAAAAATCATGTAATGACATTGATGTATTTCAAGTGTATTGCGAGGGAAATTTAAGTGCTTATAGCAATGGGTCCTGATGAATATGTGGCTCTAAAGTAGATAAAAGTTGTGGTCCTAAATAATGTGTTACCAAAAAATGATTTTTGACCAACTTATAAACTGAAAAAGCTTTGCCAAACATGCTCTAATCCTCAACCCATAGGATGTCTACTCAAGTCATCTATATAAAAGTTATTAAGTCTATTATACGAAAGACATTCTTGGTGAGCAATCAGCGAGACCTCCCCATGCTTGCATCCTAATGTAGAGGACCACCCTTTAGGCTATCCTTTTGCACGAATTGTGCAATCCTTAGGGGATTCCCGTCCAAAACAGCAGCGCATACAAGTAGGCAACTTTCTCCCGACAATGCTCTCTTGTAGTGTGGTGACATTGACGAATGAAGGGTGGAAAAGCCAAAGCTGGGTTAGAACTTAACTCTCTCTTCTTCTTTTTTTCATTTCACTTTTCTTGTTTGTTTGGGTTTCTAACTATCTGACTAATTGAAGTGAAAGTCCAAAAATTGGCAGAATGCTCTCGAAACTAATTCACTTAAGTGAGCTTTCTTTGGGTGTGATAGGACTCAGAAAACCTAGTGCCAATAGCTGTCTTAGTAGATGAGGGGGAGTTTCGATTATTAGAATATGATTGATGGCAGGCTGGATTCGAATCTATGGGTGCACCTAAAGGCCTACTTTAGGCACATAATAGGGGCTAATGGGGTCTAGAACCAATCTTTAGGTACCCATGAGTCGCTTGAGATTATTTGTTAAGCATGTCTATGCTCTCACGATAATGACATGGAAACGCTTCTATGCCATTTAAGCCATTGAGGCAAGCATTCCAAGAGCCTTGTATACTAGTCAGTGTTCTAAAAAATGTAAAGCTTAGCAAAGTGTGGGCGCCAAGCTTCGAACTAGGTGAGCCTAGGCGACGCCTTCGCCTAGGCGTAAAAAAGCATTTTTGTTGTTTAAATATTATTTTAAAATTTTAAATCAATCTAAAAATCATTTAATAAAAAAAGCATGACTAGGCGGCTGAAAAAAAAAAGCATGAAAAAACACTAGCATGAAAAAGCGCAAGGCGGGGCATTTTGCGCCCGTTTCGTCTAGGCGCTGCTTTTTAGAACGTTGGTTCTAGCCTAAACACGGGGTTTGTTGGCTTGAAAGGTTGTCAAGATAGGCAAGATGCCGATGTTGGAACGGATATGCTACGATGACACTTTGAGTAAGCCATGGACTAAATGAAAACCTGCTTGGGCGAGGCATTAACGAAGGGTATTGTGGCACTCAATGAGATAAAATGCCCTTAGGAAGTGACTAACATGAGGATTGCCAATGTGAATGACTCTCAATACTTGAGATGGAGCCAGAATGCTCATTTCCTACTGAGTTATGTTTCAAATGGTCCTTATGTTGAGTGCAAGCATGATGAGCATGCTAGCAAACTTGGTACTTATGGAGTTTGAGACATTGATGATGATATGAATTGTAAATAGGCAGTGCAAAGCATTTCTTGTTAATGCTAGTAAGCTTTGTGGGTTAAACATTGGGTATTGAATGAGCCAAAATGCCCTTAGGAAGTGACTAGCATGAGGGTTGCCCATTAATTTCATAAAGAAAGAAAAGTTTGAGAACTTCAGCGAATCCTGATTTCAAATTAGCCTTCTGGCGAATGACCCTCAATGCTTGAGACGGGACTAGAGTGCTCATTTCCCATCGAGTTATGTTTCAAATGGTCCTTATGTTGAGTGCAAGCATGACGGGCGTGCTAGCTAAGTTGGTGCTAAAGGAGTTTGGGACTTTGATGATGATGTACATTGTAAATAGGGAGTTCAAAGCATTCAGGTGTTCACATTAGTAAGCTTTGTGAATTAAATATGCAATGCGCCATGTTTACACTTGAGAAGGAAGGCTGGCTTTAAGCTAGGAGTAGCTTGCAGTGCTGCATGGGCAAAAATAGTTCGCTGCAAGATTCAAAGAGTGTGTGTGTGTATCTTATGAAATAAAAATTTCTACAGGTATTGTCATTAATGTATAGGTACAGTTCAAAGTTCAAGCTCGTGGCACCCAGGTATTCGCTTTAGAGGTTTGGAAACTGTAGGAAATGAGTTCAAAACGTAAGAAAAAATTCTCCAAATTTTTATTTCCTACATAAATTAGGTCACTTTGATCTTCGGAATCTCTAACAAAACTTTTAATCAAAAATACATTTTTCAATTTCGATCAATCAATCAATCCATCTAAAATTTATGAAAGAAACAATTTGAAGAAATTAATATGATAACTTGAGTGAGCCTTTTTCCTTAGCTCAAATTTTTTTTTTTTGCTTGCTATGAGTGAAATTCTTTTAGTCACAGCATCACACATCATATCAAATTCTTCATTTTGACTGTTATATGTTATTCTTGAGCTTAATATTCAGTTATGTTGCTACCAAATGATATGAATTTATATGTTGTTTTCTCTGTGTTGTGTCATGCATTTCTTTACATTAAAAAGTGCACGTGTCATGTGCTGTGTTTCCTATTCCTCTTTCTGTGCTACATTGCTTGTAGGTCTACCAGCTAGTTTATTATTATTGTATGGTTTTCGAAATATTTCTTTTTTATAATTTATAAAGTCTGTGGGATCATATTGAAATGTCTTGTTCATTTCTTACTAGGGTTCATCAGTTGGAACGTTGAATGTGGCACAACCAGCATGCAGCAATGCAGCATCTGCTGATTCAGTAATAAGCTGCTGGACGGAACCAAACTTATGTTTTGCGAGGCAAGAACACTCTCGCCCCACCAGAGAGGGTATTGCTGGAGACGATCAGAATTTTGTAGAACCACCACGATGTCCTCTGGGTCCTGAAATTTCCGTACATTCTTCTAGCCGGAGTGATGCTGTAATGCGTTACAAAGAGAAGAAGAAGACACGCAAGTAAGATAACCATCATCTTGGTGGTTACTGTTGATGAAGATTTGATTGACATTTTAAGAAAAAACGTTGGCGAGGGATAAAAAGAATAAACCATTCCCATTAAATATGAAACAACAACAAAAAAAAAAAAAAAAATCTGAGGGAGGAGAAAAAAATGCACCAAACTTCATTGAACGAGAAAAGGACATGGGAAACTGATAGAATTAATCAAGAACAACAATTTTTAATAATGAATTTCTCCTTAATCTTTTATCTATAGATCTCCAGTCAGTTCATTAGAAAGTGAAGGATCTAATGAAGTGCTCTTATAAACTAGTCGGACGTAGTGGAAAAGGGAAAATTCTGTAGGAATCCTATAGAGAGCTAGAAAAGGAGATGACTGGGGAGATGGATGTTGGGTTCTTAAGAAAAATGAACAATGGAGAAGAGGAAAAATGCAAAGTGATAGGAAGAAGAGAGAAATAAGCTGGGAGGAGAAGGAAACCAGAAATAAAGGGAAAATTACAGCTAGGGTGCACAACCTATGCAAAATTGAGGAATTAGGTCCTTGACCTTCTAGGTGTTGTATTCTTATGAAATGTTACTGCCATTACCACCTTCTCCTCTGTTATTCCTCCACCACTCCCTGCAATATCTGCAACCCGCCAATTTCACCTCACCAATCCATCCACCTTCACTATCAGCCCTCCAGTGCCTGCAACCACACCCGCCTGCTAAATCTCCCAACATCCCACCCCAGCTGCATACCATCAAGAATTAGATTGCTAAATTTAGAAAATTTAATCCAATTCAATCCAGTTGCAATAATTTGAATTCTCTCATATGTGAAGGGTCCAGCATTTGAGACAGGTACATTCTAGTTTTTCACTTCAAAGCCATTTGTAGAACAATTACAATGGATTATGTTTTTTTAACGACTATCTTTCTCAAAAAGTGGACTGGGTGTTCTGCTAGCAATTTTACGAGGAGACATTGATTGTAAGAGGGAATCGTAGCCTAGAATATGGAAGTGCCAATAAGCCTTGTTAGCCAGATGTTGGAGCCAAGCCCCAAGTGAAGTGTTACTCCTGCTGTCAAGGTGGGGAAGGAGGAAGGGATGGTGGCTGTGGCATGTGGATCGCCTGAGTGGGTGGGGGTTAGGGAAGGCTCTTTTCGATCAAACTTGGACATTTTAGCTGTCAGAAGACAAAATCCATTAATTGGGACCCAAGTGCTACAAAATTGAAAGGCTGGGGACCCAGATACAACAAATAGAAGACTGGGAACCTAGTTACTCTATTTAGCATAGGGTAACGATCCCAGTTGTAACTTTCCCTTAAACAAACACGTGCAGTGTAAAATATGACACATGCTGGTGTGGCCAGCTTTGACAAGTTCCATAACAATGGTTGGATATATAGGTTAGGAAAAAGGGGAGGAGGCAGACAAGAATTTCAACAATATAAAGTTTACTGGCTGTTCGATTTATTCCTCAAGTGTACGGATTGTCACAAGTAAAAGTGGACCTACGAGTCTGGATTTCGTTCCTACAGAGACTAAGTACCTATTATCAATTTTTATTCTAATCTGTAGCTTCAATCTAAATTAATGTGGTGAAAACTTAATAAATCAAGAATTGGAATTTTAATTAAGCTAATCTAAATTAATCTAATTTGTCTAATTGGTGGGGAACTTTTGTGATTATGTGGTTAGAAATCTCGAATCCTCTAGGTCAATTTAATATTCATTCAAGTCAATATCATTCAACACCTTTTTCATATTTATTAACTATTGAATTAACTAATTTAAGTTAGTAATCTCTTTCAAGTAGAACTACCCCTTTTCGCATGCCCGAATAGATATGTAAAAGTATTCAATTGTAGGAATTCTACCAAGATTGCATAGCCCATAATCATCTCTTGATCCCTTATAACACTTGTGTCACCTATTGCACGAATTGGACAAATAATTCTTCTCTTGATCTTAATATTGTTCTTAAATCAAACAACTGGTTATCAAGTAATTAAATCTAACTAAAACACAATAAGCAACTACCACATAATCAAGTTGCATGAAATTTTTGGAATTTAATAAATATTAAACCTAAGTTACATTGTTCATCCTAACAACCAATTATTTAGCCAATCATAATTGAGAAGTTAAACTATAAGAATGAAAAAATCACTGGGTCCCATACAAGGAATAAAGAAAAGAATCCTAGCGATTGTTGTTCCTTGGCACTTAATTTCCAACAATTGATTATCAATCTCCTTTTCAAAGCATGTATGCCTCCAAGCCAATTATGTTCTTCAACCTTCAAGTCAAATATTGAGGAGTTAATATATTTGGTGTAATCTTGCCTCAATATTATATCTCTAGCCTTCCCTTTTTATTGAGTGGAATATTCCTATTTGTAGACCGTAATTATGTCTAAATAGAGTCCCAAGAGGATAGGAAACCATAACTTCAGTCCAATTAGGATTATTTAAATAATTGGAATTTAATCTTTCCTTTGCAATTTGGTCTCCTTTTCCTCTTTTAATTCAGATTGAGTCCTTAAATATTGCAATTGAGGTCCTTCAACTTTCAAACGTGACTCATTGATCCCCAACTTTCAAAATATGTCCAACATTACTACTTGTGATCAATTATTGCTCTTTTTCATCCATTCTCATCCAATTTTGGATTTTCTCATAAAATAATAATAAAAAAACACATAATATTAAGTATCTCGTTCATAAAATCACTCACAAAAGTCAATGGTCAAGGTAAGTGTAATATCACTTGCCACATTCGTTCCTTCAGAGATGAGCATGCATTAGGATGTCTTATCCCTTTCAAGTGGAATTATTAAATAATTACATCATTTTCCTTTTAGCTGGGTAATGATGTTTTGTTCCGCTTTTCACTTTTCCTTTCCCTAAATATATTGTTGTTTACATTCAATGCTTTAACAGATTCGAGAAGAGAGTGAGATACGAATCTCGCAAGTCAAGAGCAGATGTAAGAAGACGTGTGAAGGGACGGTTTGTGAAGGTGGGGGATGCTTATGATTATGATCCATTAAGCAAAACACGAAGCTGCTGAGCATAAATCTTTTGCTCTTGAAAATGGATGATGTGCACTTTTTATTTCGTGCAATGAATGACGAATTGTACGAATGTATGCAGGGCAGTAAAGGTTTTGTTCAGGAGCCAACTCCTATACTTCGTCGACAAGATTCAAAATGTCTTTTAACAGCTAAGTTTAGATTGTTATTGCCTCAGTGAAAAAGGCCTATATTTTGCCTTCAGCTTTAGAGAGAGATCAAATTTATTTGTTTCTGTTCATGTTTGATTAGCATCTCTAATTGGTGGGCACAGCAGCTTTATCTGTGAAGATTGAAGAATCATCATTTGATATTAACAGGTCTTCGAGTCCATGTACAGAACAAATTGTCAACATTCAAAGCAGAAGCACCTTGCTACTGTAATAATGTATCCCCCCTATTTTTTAATATTTTCTAGAAGCTCACCCTTATACTACATAAAAGAAGAAAATATTTGGACGATTTAATATATGTGTGAGCTTCTCAAAGTGCTCTTGAAAAAGTCAATATTATAGTTTTCCCATTCAACAAACTTGAGTTGATTCGACTTTGCTTTAGAATCTCTTGCCCAATAATCGAGTAGTTCAAAAAGAGGATGTGGATGGCTTACCTCGATTCATTGTATGTGCACACTACTAAGAAAATAAAGTAAATAGAATGACTGAAATTTGGGCATGACATGATGTTACCTTATGACATTCACGTGGCACATATGGGTCTATGCACGGAAAGTTGGATTGTGATATCCTATCTTGCTATCTAAGAAAATTAATGGCTTCCATCCATCAAATGCAATAGTCTTGGTTCAATGGATGAACTGAAATATATATATAAATATGTGCATATTTCTAATAAAACAAAGCCTCCCATGATGTTATGGTCTGACTTCACGTGCAAAATGGCACCTTGTTTGTCGGCTCATCAAGTCATTTTCCAATCCATGTATGTATCCATGTGTTACTTATTTTCAACACGTTCAAAATCGTGCAAAAATTATTGGACAAACGGGTATTCTTGTTGTTAGAGTATATTGACATATCCGTGCACTCGCAATAATTTTTTTTTTGAAGTGTTTTAAGAACTTTTAAATAATAGATTCTTAGAGGTTAGAAGGGTGTCTTCGAAAATATTCATATTCCAAACAGTGTACTCGCAATTACAAGTCTTTGAAGTATTTAAGAACTTTTAAATTATAAATGCTAAGAAGGATATCTATAAGGATATTCATATCTTGAATAGGATGACTGCAAACGAATATTTAGACATAGAGTACTAATGTCAAATTGAGTTAGTCATGTTACTAATATGTAGGGATGTAAACGAGTCGGGTAGAGCCGGCTCGCAAGCCTAAAATTTCAGCTCGGGCTCGGCTCGGTTAAAATGGTCGAGCTTTTTTTTGGGCTTAAGTCGGACCGAGCCTAAAAGCTGGGGCTTTTTACGGGCCGAGCCTGACAGGCTCGTTTTCTACCCCTTTTTTTTTTTAATTTTTTCCCCCTAAGCTGCTGATCGCTGCCTTTTAAAGGTAGCCTCAAATTTTAATTTTTTTTTATTTTTTTAAAAAAGCTCGCGAGCTCACGGGCCGGCTCGGGCAAAGCCCGTGTCCCCAAAATGGGACTAGGCCCGAGCCTAGGCTCGAGTCTCCCGAGCCCCAAGCCGAGTCACGGGCGGCCCGAGCCGATGAGTCCGATTGCCATTCCTACTAATATGAATCCAGTGGTATTTGACAAATTAGTAATTTAACCGTATATCACATAGCTTTTACATTAAATCCATGTTTGGTTTCCATTTTTTAAAATTAATTTATTTGTTTCAAATTCATTTTCAATAACATTTTATTTGATCCACAACTTTTATCAATTTCCGACTACTCACAACATCAACTTCAATAAAAAAGAACTACTAAAATTTTCAATTTTAACAAAACCAAACTGAGGCAAAATGTGTTTATTTCGCCAAAATGTGTTTATTTCGCCAAAATGTGTTTATTTCGCGTTATATTTATCCATTTTAAGTGCTGTTTTAACATATCTCAAGACCAGTTTTCGACCAGTAGTCTCTTTTGGTTCTTTGCTTTCGTTTGCTGCATTTATGTTCTGGAGACAACTGTTTTGGTGACTGACCCTACTCGATCGGCCCCAGTGGACAAAGCTATATCAAGTCCGGAAAATGTTAGAAGTATTCTACGCAAAAAAAGACGAATGAGAAAGGATAAACTTTTACAATGTACTGTGTACTACAAGCTAAAAATATGGTGGGAGGAAAGTTAAATTTGTAGTGGGGTCTGCAGATTTTGATTGTATAAATAAATTTGATAGTTGCACCGTTGTCGGCACTAGTTCACCTTTCGATTTCTCTTTTACTCTATCCCAAAATTTTCCTGATTTGTTAGGGCTTTAACATCTGAGCTGAATCCAATCTGTAAGTCTCTCTTATTTTTCTCTTTTAGGAAACGAAAAATGAGTTTTTTCTGTGAATTTTTTGGTGGGTTTCAGTTCATAGATCTCGTATTTTCTAGTTCTTTTGTTTTTTTATATAATTTTGGATCTTTCATATTTGCCCATAATTCATATATTTACTGATTATTTTTAGATGGTTGATTATGTTACATCTGTTTTCAGAATGAATTCTAGACTGTTTTTTTCTGTTTTAGAGTGGAAGATCATTCAAAACTTCTATTCCAAGAAGTTTTTTCTAGAATTCTTGAAGCTTTTGGCTTCTTTTTTGACGTATCATAAAAAAAGGCATAGTTTGAGTGCATCATATGTCTTGAATTTCAGGGCTATTTAGGAGTTAGGAATTAATTGTAGAATAAAGAGAAATGAAAAATTTGGCTATGGACAATTAATGGTTTCTTTGCTGAAGTTCTGTTGTCCATCATCAGGCCATTTGGGCATTAATTTACCTACTGAAATACAACCCATCTCGACTCAGCATCGCTATTCTGTTTGATTTATGTTTTGAATACAGGAATCATTGTTAGCCTTTTTAAACCTGATTGTTATGTTTGTTTGCAGATCGTGTTTTACGGAGCTCCTGTAGAAAGCATTGGACTTGAAATAGTTGCATAGTTGCAATAGAAATCACCAAGGTAATTTGTGCATGTACTTTAAAAACCATAGAGAATTGTTTTTTGATTATGTTAATTTTTTTCTGTTTCTGAAAGTCGATACATGTTTAATTCATTTTGGCAGAGCTTTGTGATAACTTGAATGCAATCACATTTTAATTCTTCAAGTTTCTCTTTTCTCATTATACGGTATTTATAGTATCTTGCTGAAGCAATATCAAGAACAGAAGAATCATGTTTGCCAGTGCATTTTTTATTTTTCTTCCAAAAGGAAGTACCAGATCTCCATCCAGAAATTCAAGTCTCAAAACCTTCTTTTATTGATATATTCACCAATTTGATTTGCTGCATATAAAAGGGGAAAAAGGCGGGGAAAGGTAGAAGGTTTAGCTTTCTTTTACTGTCCCAAAAGACAAAAACAAGTCTTGAGAAGAATGTTTTACTTTCTTTCCTTATTATCTCTCAAAACTTTACTCTGCCAAAGTTGAATATGTTTGGAGACTACTAGTCTTGCTTTATCTCATTTTATGCTCGTGTGGGCTGAGTGTCCATATTTCCTAATCGTCCATTAGGTTCCACGTCGAAAATGGGTCTTTCAACTTATTCTAGTGCGGCTGATGCGGGTGTACTCTGTGTAATTCTGGCAAACACAGCCATATCCATTTCAATTATGAAGGAGATTGTTCGCTCACTGCTTCTTCTCATTGGCATCCATATTGCATCATGGGAAGAATTATCCATGGAGCAGTTAGACTCAGTTCATTCTCATAAGAGCCCGTCAGAATCGTACATTGAGGAGTTCCGTAGCCGAACACCAGCTATTAGGTACAACTCGATGTTCACATGTGACTGTCCCAAACAAGAGTGCTCAGTCTGCTTGACTGAATTCGAGCCAAATGCAGAGGTTAACCAGCTGTCTTGCGGCCATGTTTTCCACAAGTCTTGTCTTGAGAAGTGGTTGAACTATTGGAACATCACGTGTCCTCTTTGTAGGAATAACATGATTCCTGAAGAAGAAGTCGAGGAAGATTCCTGTCCAATGTGAATCGCTTAACAGATCAACTTTTCATGGAAGCTCGGTTGTTCTGCGTAGTTTGTACAGAATATGTAATAAGATTTTGCATCGGCTCATGTGTTTGATGCCTTTGTTTTTGCTACTCTGTTTGCGTCCTCTTGTAGTGACGGGTCTTTGGTGACCGATATATCTGTTGTAAATAAGGCGAAAAGCTTCTGATTATCTATGGTCCTGAGGTTTTAGTTCAGTTCAGGCTTTATGAGAATCATCCTCTTCTATCAAGATAATTGCATTTAGATAACAAACACAGAAGGAAACCTTTGCACAGTTTAGAATTCAAGAAAATAATCAGTAAAAGTAATAGACAACAACTGAAATATCAGTTTACAGGATACCAACTAAATGAATAATTTTGGATTCTTTCCCTTCAAAAACAAAGATTCAAACAAGCTTCAACTGACTTTAACTTATGATTGACGAAGACGGAAAGGAATTGGAAGCCAAGGCACGAGAACGGAGGGAAATCTGAGACCTTTTAGTGTATGGATTTAGCTGGCAGATGTGCATTTATTAACACCATCCTTACAGTCTTTGGTGAGATCATTAAAAGTTTCAATCTTATTTTTTGCCCTCGACAACACTTCATCTTCAATAGACATCCTCATGTAACCATCTAATTCAACTGGTTTATCATTATTGAGCTTTTTCATCTCGGCATACCAGTCGCTGTCTTCATCCCAGAGATCTTTAAATTCATCAAGAAAATGAGTTGAGTACTTGGCTTTTAAAGGGTCGAAAAAGGATGTATTGGGCTCATTTGTTGAAATATACAAGTTCCTTCCGGCTTCAATTTTGCCTTGCAAAGTCACCAGAAGAGCTTCTGGTGAAGTATCTCTGTCAAGATTAGGCCACTGCTCCTTATTCATCGCCTTCTTTCCTCTCTCGATGTGAATGGCGTCAAAATCCCAATCCATTCTCATAGCAATCGCAGATGCCACATCCAACAAACTTCTCGACTTCCATACCATATGCCATGGCCGTGAAATAACCTTGTCCGTCTCACCTTCACATACTCTGTACCAGTAATTATCTGGCTCTACTGTCCCAAACTTCCTCATAATCAAGGCATCTTCCACTCCAGCTAGTTTCATAGGTGTAGTTCTAGAATCTTCAACAAGATGAAGAGTTAATCCATCTTTCTCTCGCCTCTTGTTCCATTCTGACCAGAATTGAGCCTGATCCAGCAGTGAAGCTGAATCCTTTAGATGTTCGATGTCAAAGTAAAACCTGAAATCTTTACCATCCTCATCTTGACCAGAAGATGTGTAGATTGAAGGCAAACATATGCTGAAATCCAAAACCAAAGTCCGGTTTAAGTACTGAGCTTCACCCAACATACAATTGAAACTGTACAAGAAGTGCTGCATAGTTTTGCACCTATCACCACCACCAGAATAAACCAAATATTTTCCACGACTAAACGAACCATCCAATTCCACCCCAGGAAGCGAAATATCCACTGTTTCCTCAATCGCCTCTGACTCTGACCGCAGCCTTCCAAATTCACCCTTCTCCGCGTCTTTCCCATCCCTTTTCCTCTTCATCGCATTCACCCCTGAATGATAATCCCCAATCCCAACCACGCTAAGTGTACAATTCTCACTCACAAGCACAAAGTTTCTGAAATCCTTTTCAAATGCAGCAGCGTTCCCTTCTTTAGGCCTAAATCGCCAAGCCATGTGGCAAGAAGTATCATTGATACCGCGAACTGGTCTACCAAACTGGTAGAAATCTATGTCCCTAAATTTCTCAATGGCAGCCCTCATTAACAAATGGAACACATCTGGATCACCACAATCAATAGAGTCAACTTTCCCATTACAACCACGATTCTCGGCCTCCTCAAAGGCAGTCTCATTTGACGCCAACAAGTCTTCACTAGTCTTGACAACAGAGTTATCAGATTTGAATGTGGAATCGGAATGGAACATTGGGTCATCAGGTTCATAAGTTGCAGTCATTATAATGAAAATCAAGGCCCCAGTTACACATAATGAGAAGCAGATGTTGCGTACCATTGCTAGTGCATTTTGGCGCAGATTTTCAGGCCTAAAAATCCCACTTCGAGACATATCCGGAGATCAATTGAATTCGAACAAATATTATCTTACAACCAACAATACCCAAAAATGAAACTAAAACAACACACAAAACTTAAAAGGCACAAAATTGAGAAAAAGGGTCTTGCAAATGAACGAAAAGGGGATTCAGAAAACAAGAGAAGTAAGTCAATAACATGGAAAAATAAAAAAGCGAGGTTTTACAGATCTTGCTGTGTGTTTTGCTGGAAGGCAGATTGACGATCAAAGTCAAAGTGTTGTAGCAGCACATGGATTCATCAACATTTCCAATCTCTCTTTCCCTGACTTTCTCTTCCAGTTGACTGCACTATCTATAATATGAAATTGGAGCTAGGAGCCGTGAAAAACAAGGAGAGTGATGCTTGCAAGGTAGATGCTAAAACGTGTTAGAATCTCATTAGATATGATTTCAATCTTGTATCAATCAATCCCCTAAGTTTTCTCAATTAATACACCTTTATAGCAACTTGGTCCTTGATCTAATTATTTGGCACGAGTAGTCCCTAATATTTTTCATCGTATAAAATTAGTGCATGTTAGTCCTAATGAACAACTAGCTCACCCCATTCTCTTTTGGCTTATCCCAACCTCAATTTCACGACCATCGCATTCCTACCACAAGCCACCCCACCCTAAATTACAAATGGCAACAGGGTAGGAAGGGGCAAAAGGCAGTCCTCCCCTCATTTTGATGATGCAATTAGTTTGAGAGATGTTTTCATTCATACCCGAACTCTATAACCAAATCTTAATATCGATTTTAACCCCTCCTCCCAAAATAAATCTAGTCAAACCTATAATTACCGTTGACCCCTCCAAACTCTTCGTACCACCTGCAGACTACAATCCCCCCCACGTGACCACCCTAAAACCTGGCTAAACCCATACTCGAACCACTTAATTTTTTCATTTTGCCTTTTTACCTTTTATTTTGCTAAACTTGTCATTTTAACAAATTTTTGAATAGAAACCGTTCACGAGGGTTGATAGTGTGCCAATTTTCAATGGTTGTGAACGACTCCTACAGAAAATTAGGTCGATGACCAAGATGCTACGAACACTATACATCGGGGACCAAGTGTAAAGTGAGTCAGGGTGGTTAATTTTGTCTGTTATCGGGGTTTGGCCTTGATGGAATCTGATCCCTTTCTTGCCACTAAAGTAAATCCTCAGCCTATAATGTCCTACATACATTTAAATATTCAAAATTATGGTTGTACATAAGAAAAAAAGGGGTATTTTAAAAAAGGTCTAATTTTATGAATGTCAATTGAACAATATTCACTTTTTAAATTTATCATTAAACTAGCTATTATGCCCTTAATGAAAAAAAGAAGCAATTTATTTATTTTTTCAATTTGTTGCGGATTTCAAAAAATAGTTTCAATAAAAAGCTACATTAAAATGATGTTATCGACATTTCAAATGTCATTCTAGATATTGGAATTTCGTTTATATTTTAAAAGTACATATGTCAAATCACAATATTAAATATTTTCGACATTTTAAATATCTAGAATGATATTTTATTCCGAACATGACATTTTTCTACACTTAAAATGTAATTCTCGACGTTTCTGTGTCAATGAGGAAAATAAGATTAATTGTAATTTAATTTCAAATGTCATTCTCGATATTGGAATCTCATTTATATTTTAAAAGTACATATGTCAAATCACAATATTAAATATTCTCGACATTTTAAAAATCTAGAATGATATTTTATTCCGAACATGACATTTTTCTATACTTAAAATGTAATTCTCGACGTTTCTGCGTCAATGAGGAAAATAAGATTAATTGTAATTTAACATATGAACATTAATTGTGATTTAACATGTGCACTTTTGAAATAAATATAGTAGGTTATGTGTCAAAAATTTATTGGCCAATACAATTTTTGCAAAAATATTCATTTCTTGTCTTTGTGTGGAATCATAAATTTTTTACATGGGTATTTTGGTCCAAAACATTTCAAAATGGACATTTTTGCAAGGATTTGTGAAAGTGAATATTTTTACAAATGGACATGTGAAAGTGGACATTTCAAGTAATTTCCTCTAAAGAAAAATATAATTGAAAAAATAAAATCACTCACTCCATGTGCTGTGTGTGATCTATACGTGTTCTGTCAAATCGATTTCTGTATGTGAAGTATGATTCTTAAATATTACCATAAAAAGCTAGCTTTCATAAATTGCAATTTAAATACGATTAAATATGACCATAAACTCTAATAAATGTTTAAATAATACTATTTACAATCACCCATTATCACAGTCGTCATAAGTCTCTAAATTTTATTATTTGTTTAAGAAATAAAGTTCTTGATCTCTATACACAAAAGAATTACCAAACCAATATGAAATGTATACATGTACATTATTATTGGTATATAACTATTGAAACTTGTCTAGAGCAAGTGAAGTTGTTTTATGGATGTATTTTCTAAAGTAAGATAATATCAGATTTTCTTTATACTATAAAGAGTACCACTATAATTTTAAAAATTAAGATATATATAAATGGAAATTATCTTTTAATTTGAAGAAATTCACTTTATTTCTTTTTTGCAAACATGGTCACAACTCAATAATATATAATATATTTCAAAAATAATTTTTTGTTTAAAGGAAGAAAGAAAAAATTAATAAAAAAATGTTGAGCGGAAAAATGAAAAGAAAAATAATCCAAATTTGGAATCTTATTTGAGGCTAATTTATTATATTTTTGGTATTATGATAACAGAAATATTAATTTCTACATTCAAATATTAAAAAAATAATAAAAAATAATTTATTAATTGACAGTGGAACAATTTGATTAATTTATAACATTGTTTATTTTAAGAAAATGAGAAAAATTAATATAACGAGTATAATTAGATATGTTTTTTAAATTTTAAAGGTAATAATAACATAGATGGATAAAATGAGAATTTATTATTATTATTATTATTATTATTTATTTTATTTTATTTTTGTGAGAAACAAACTTCAAGAGAGGTTTCAGTAATTATTAAAAATATAGTATTTGTGTCTCTGTGATCTCTAGAAAGTAGAATACTCTTAATACACACGCCTCGAATTTTCTTTCAACGAAATTAATATAATGAGAAACAAACTTCAAGAGAGGTTTCGGTAATTATTAAAAATATAGTATTTGTGTCCCTGTGATCTCTAGGAAGTAGAATACTCTTAATACACACGCCTCGAATTTTCTTTCAACGGAATTAATATACCACAATTTAAGGATTCCTACTAGATAAAATAAATATTATATTGTTTTATATTTAAGGATTTCTACTAGATAAAATAAATATTATATTGTTTTATCAAAATTCCTTGGCATATATATACAGCCTAAACACTACTATCAATACAAAGACGCTTGACCTAACACAAAGGACACACTAGGACCACATAGAAATTGAAAACCATTTATAATAACAAAATGTCAAATATCAAACTAGCCAACAAGATATGGGACATTGTTTCGAGTTAGTTTTATTCAATCAATTTGGAATTCTAAGTATTGATTTGGTATTCCTTGTATATTTATGATGACCATGTCATATCGACGGCTCTTCAAGATTTCACACAAATATCTATGAAATATTAATAAGCAGACAATAAGCCAAACATTTTTGCTCGAGTTGATTATAAATGTGACGAGTGTTGACATTGTTTAAAAATGGCACTGGAAGGGATGATAAGATGAGTGATGATAGGTGTATAGGGTAAGGGTTCTGTAGGGTTCACGGAACCCTTATCAACACCACTCACGGAACCCTTATTTATGTGGGACCCATACCTTTGTGAGAGTTTGTACACATTCTATAAAAAAAAAAATTTGTACACCAATCATCATAATAAGATCCCCGTTTCCAGTTAGGACACAACCCCAAGTGACGTGGACAATAAATTTGCAACTAGTCAGGGATGGAGATCATGGTCCTTCCGTCGAACTCGCTCGATTTAATATTTATTTTATATTAAAAAAGTTATCGAACAAAAATGTAAAGGAGTAGTGTGAGACTAGGTGTGCAATGGATCAGTCACTGTTTTCATTGTCTCGATTGGACATATGGACCATGGTGTACAAGGTATGTTAGTTATTGTATTAAAAAATTAAAAAAATAATTAAAATCATATTTAAAAATTGAGGTAAATGGGGAATGGGGGTTCCTGGCCTCCAACCACTGATCTCGCCTTAATCAGGAATAGAAGCAGCTCAGGGGTGAAAAAAATCCTTGGTGGTGCGGGAGGAATAAGGAGGGAATCCTTGCCCCACATCGTTGCCATTTTCTGAGCTTGATTACTAAATTTAGAATGAAAGTTTTTATTTATTGACACTCTGACAATAATTATCCTTTGCAAAGGGAATGATAGATGATTGCCTCGACGGTAAATTGTTATACATTGTGAAAAAGGGCGACTTTCTCCTTTGGTTCGCCACCCAACTAAATCCAAATGCGATCATAACTATTTTGACTGGACATTTGGAAAACAATTGTCCTCTTTGTGGACCTCCTTTTATGACAGGACCTCGAGGAGACGATAAAGAGCAACATAACTTTGCCTCCATGGAACATCTGTCTTTCAACATAAATATGACCTTTCAGCTGCTGCAGGGATTCAAATTTACGATACTCCTTGGAGAATCATGCTGTTTTGTACTATGCCAAGCCGTGGGGCTTTCTCTTACACATTCTTAACTCAGTCTCTGCATGATTTTCTTGTCATTTTCTCATTCTTATTGCCTTTTTCTTTCTCCCATCTATTTGGGTGGTATCTAACACTGACTCTAACAGTTTACATTACAAAATAAATTATTTTACTCTCTTTTTCCGTATAAAAAATAAAAATTAAGGCCACTATTGAATTAGACAATGAAAAATCAATTAATAGTTTATTATATTCCTAGGCCACTGTAGAATTAAATATGAAGAATCATTTCATAATTTAGTTCATGTTTGAAACCATTTTTTAAAACTCAATTTTTGTAAACTCATTTTCAATAAAATATTATCCCAATAAAATATTTAAAAAATTTTCTTACTTTTTAATCATATATGACTAGAGATAGGCATTTTTCTTAGAATCGGTGGAACCAGACCGAGACAAGTTAGAACAAATCAATTCGGTTTCGATTCCTCTACTAAAAGAATGGTTCTGGTCCGATTCTTGATACTATCTTTAGAACCAATAGTGAATTTAATTCTCCCAAATTTCTCTTTTTCTTAGTGCACTTCATCGAGCTGCACCAAATCTTTGAAGATTATATCCCAAAATTATCTAGCGTCAAAATTTCATTTTCAATAGTCTTCTTCTTTCGTTTACAATAAAACCTCAACGTGTAATCAAAATTCAAATTTAAATAATTTTATAAATACTTTATAAATTCATGACTTTAATGTAATTCAATAGAAAAAATATAGTTTTAGTTCAATGTTAAATAAGAACTCAAATTTCTCATTATTTTCAAAAGATCAGTCATTGAGAATCAAGATCATTGATGACTACAAAAGATAATAATAAGGTTGTAAATACTACATGTATTCTAAATATTTATAGTTTTACGGTTTTTTCTTAAAAATTAATTTTATATCTAGATTTTATAGATTATGCTGTGTTTTATAGTTTATCATTTTTTCGCATTTATTACTTGATCTTGAGTTTTGGAATGTATTTTTTATTTAATTGATTTTTTTTTGTATTGTCCTATACTCTATTTTTGTTTATTTTCAATCTGTTGAGTAATTTCATATTTCATATTTTATTTTTAATTTTTAAATATAAAGAATCGAATCGGATCAAAACCATAAATTAGTGGTTTGATTTCGTTTCCGTTCAATAGTTAGATATGTAACCAATTGTTCTATTTCTATGATTTTCATTTGTATTCAATTTGACTCCCTTCGAAATCAAACAGAACTAGACTTCGACAACTTCTTATTATCCAAAAAAAATTACATTTTACAAAATCTATTCTTGAAAAAAAGAAAAAAAGAAAAAAAGAAAAGGCTCTAATAGAGACTTAAAATATGCACCAGTGTACTTGGGGATTCACATGCTACTTTTTGCAATTTCCTACATACCGTGAGCGATACATACAGTGCGTGTTGAGAAAATCTAATAAATTAGGAAATTGTAAGGGTGTGTTTGATTATATTTATTTTCCATGGAAAATATCAGTTTTCCACCTAAATTTCTATTTGGGGTGTTTGATTGCTATTTTTTTCATGGAAAACATTTTCCAATTTTTGAAAATTGCCTAATTTTCTTTATTTTTAAGGAAATTTTTTTCCTTGAGTAGATGTGGTTTTTATTTTCCACAAAAGATGAAAAATATTTTTTTTCTAGGTGATATTTTCATTGTCAATCAAACACACTCTAAGAGAAAAAATATGGAGTAGAAAAAAAAAGTAGGACGCAAAAGATAATTTGAGTGGATGTTTTGTAAAAAGTAGGGGAGGAACATGTTATTTGATGAAAGTAACCCAAGAAACGCATCATAAGCGCACCAGAAACATGTAAGAAGTTTTTCTTGGGAAATTTGCCTAAGGATGGCGAAAAAAAATATTTTAACCCGATACACGTGGGAGTTCGTCTCAAATGAGACGAGAATTTCCCACCTAAATGGGTACACGGGATGGGAGTGGATAGGGATTGTTGCCTCGAGATAAAGATGGGTATTGAAAATGTTGTTCCCGCCCCATTTAAAGTTCATTTCAAGATAAGTTTTTAATCGAAAAGAAAATAATTATAACATTTTCTGAAGAGAACATAAGTTATTCCACAAATCAGAAAAAAAAAAAAAAGTAATTTTCACCAACTAAAGACATGAAAAAAATAAAACAATTAAACAAAGTGCTATATTGGAGGCAAAGAAGCACTTCTACACAATACACAATTTTTTTTTTTTTGATATCTAGGTATCCACCTTACAGTGACTAAATTCTGGAGTCTACACCTTGGCCACTCAAGTTGCAGACAGGTTAAACCGCAGGTTGTGCCCCAAACTGATCAGTGCTCAAGAGCCCCCAACTAATCTGTCAAAGTGCAAAATAAGTCGTTTTTATCTTTGCACCTTATCTTCCAGTAGAGCTCCTGCCTTCAAGGATAAATCCTGCAAGAAGACTTTATCGTGGAAGCATTATGTATTTACATATTCATAGCTATATCCGTCTTCATCTGTATAACAAATATACAAATGAAATAATTGTTGTGTCAAGTGAGAATCCTCTTATATAAATATATTTATTTATTTTTTTTTTTTTAAATTTTTTTTAATTTTTTTAAGGGTTGGACCAATTTACTACCAAGGGAATAGGCTATGGACCAGTGATGCAAAATTCCCTAAAAAATTCCCCTAGCTATTTAAATTGTCTGTGCGCCTCCTCTGCCCTTCTTCCTTCTCTGGCTTCACGAAACAGCGAACTTGTTACGATGAGTTTCAATAGCAAAGTTCTTTTAGAATTGGAGGCCAATAGTAGCACCACTAACCCTTCAACTTTACGCTTAGGTTTCTTTTATCTATCTACTGGAAATTTCTCAGTTCGTGTTGTTTTCATTCTCCCCCCCCCCCCCCCCCCCTAACGACCCACAAAAGAGATACCATTGCTCACAAACAAGGCAAAGTAACAAAAAATAGTAATTTATAATAATTTTTTGATAAGAGGAAAATAAGAATACATTTTTTTTCCCGGAGATGATACATTTTTCTTTTTACAATTTGTTTGTAAGTATATTTACAAGATTTGACCATATTACCCCCCCCCTTTTTTTGATGAATTGATATTCTTTTTATAGAGTCAAAACTTCAATTTTGCGGCAAAGATAATATCTTTTTGCAGCCTGGAACTACAAAACTAAATCCACCTGAGCAGAAGCCCACCATTAGTCCTATTCCCAAGAGCCACGGTAATGACAACCCTGCTTTCATTTTTTATTTTCTTTCCTATATGGTAATTGTTTTCCGTGATTTTGAGATTTGAAGAGATCTATAGGTATTTTATATTGACCTCGAATTTTGTAACTATAACGTGGCCAATAGATCCAATGCCTCCAGCGTCCATACATGCATGATTCTTGCACACTTGGACAAATCGTTAGCCACATGTGGCTTCCTATGGTGGGGTGGAGTTGGCTACGTGCACTCTAACGGTCAAATCAATTGAGATAGTAGATAAGTGAGGATGAGAGGTGCTTTGGACACAAGCTTCCAATATAAAAAAGGGGTTGGCTATGGGGGATTTTGTGATAATAATAGTAAGGATAGCAAAGTTATAGTTTAAGAGTCTAAACGTACATTACCTTTGAAATCACACATTATGTGAGCTTTTTAGAATAAGATGAATGTCGACCATAGAATGAAAGTGTATATGGCCTCATTTGGGCGGCTGAGACCTCTTGTTGAAGGTATCAATCAATAATAAGTATTGAATGCTAATACCATTTTGTTGCTTAAAAATATGACGCTGGGCTTAGACTTGACTTAATTGGTTGGATAGGACGGTAGTAACAGTGAATTATCACATCAATCACGTATCAAGAATTGCATAGATCTTCTGCTAGGCCCCCTTATAGCCTCTTCCGCAAGAGAGTTTGTTTCTTCATATGGGGTCGACTCGGTCAAATGGGTTTGACATCTCATATAGGTTCGGCCTCTTCACGAATGTTCGACCAAATTACCTCTTGGGCAGAGTGATGTGGAGTGTAGCTCCAGATTCGCCTGCCACGTAGGACCCGTTAGAGCCTCATCAGGTGAGGCGTAACAATTTATATGTTTTTAGATTAACAGTTTTGAGAGCCATGTTGTTTTGTATGAGTTTTGAAACTTTTGATGTATTAACTAAAACCAGGGCCGAACCTGTGCTTCACAAGGCCTAAAGCGAACTTTAGAATTTGGGCTCTTAAATCGTAGCAAACAACCAATTTTTTTCATTTACAAGAGTTTTACTGAACTAAATTTGTTTGTTAAGTTAAAATTAACAATAAAATAAAATATTTAAAATATTATATTACCATAAAATAACAATGCTAAAATATTTTAAATGATCAATTAAATACAACTCACCTTGAGATTTTAGAGGTAAAAGTATCAATCAATTTTGGATAGTCGAGTTGTTCAATTATTTCTTTTTCAGTGGATAACATGGTTAATCCATTCAATCTTTACCATAACATAGTTGATAAGAGATAACTCCTAATCAATTTCAACTTGAAAAAATTTCTTTCTATTGATGCAATTGTAATTGGTATGGTTAGCAAAATATTGCAAGCAATTGGGTAACAACTAGTCATTTTCTTCATCAAGGAAGATCCTTCATTGAAACCTATTCTGGAAAGTAATGTAGCATATCAATTGCTCTTTTTGTTTCTCTATGTAAATAATACTTGAAAATTGTCAACTCCGAAAATAAGTTATCACCAATAACCGTCTCTCTATACCTCTCTATCTCCTGCACATCTTAGCACCTCGTCATACCTTTGACCTCTTATATTATCAATATCAAGCTCAAGATTGCTTAATCACATTTTTAAGTTCAGCGAAAAGTCCAAGTACTTGTGTATCATCTACCTTAAAAATTTAATCCAATATTCTTGTATCGTCGACAAGTCTATTAAATCTTCCACACATTGTATTACTAGAGAAATATGCTCTCCATGACTCGCATATGAAGTAAAATCAAGTATGACAGAAAAATATTTTGTGTGTTTCACTTTTGTGATAATTGCACTTCTCACCACGCCTTTCAACGTTTGTATCAATTCATTTTGAATTTTAGGACCAAAATATGTATACTAAATCTCACGTAATTGAGCACATCGAATGTGTTCTTTCATTACTGGATCAAACTCAGCTACCATTTCTATCATTTGCAAAAAAAGTTTATTGTTTTCAACATAATGTTGCTCAAAATTTTTCTCGAAATGTCAACGTATTTTTAGAGAATCTTTTCACAATAGCAATTATCCTCGTTAACATTTGTTTCGAGTACTCTATTTCTTTGTTGATAGCCAATTGTATGTTTTGTTTGAAACATAATTTTCAGTTCCATCCAACTAGTCATGCAACCTATATGCTCGTTAGTCACTTCATGTTTTGTAAGACGTCGATGCACGTTATGTCAATCTTTGTATCAGTCATTATCCAATTAGCCAAAGTTTTTCATCAGTTTTTCTATCTTAAACAACTTACAGCAATAATAAAACATATTGTCCAAAGAAATTGAATACACTAGCAATTTTCTATAAGTTGTCAACCAATTTACCATTATTCGCTTATATTGTGATGATTCAAAATGTCTACGTTGACTATCTTTGGAAACAAGATGCCATCAACTCTTTTTGGACCTACTTCAAGTAAAAAGTCCCTTATCTTTAATCAATGTGAATGCCTTTCCAATTTTCAAGATCATCAAAATCCAAAGAAAAGCAATTCTCCAATCTTCATGTTGAAAATTATCTTCATTATTTTGCTTTGATTCATTGACATTGGCAGGTTTAATTATTTTCTCGTTCTCTTTTAATTCATCCACATTATCTGCTATTTTCTTTCCATTGAAGTACTTATCAAATCTCCAGCTTGGCTTCGAAAAATTTGGTAATTGAGGAACGAGAGAATCAGAATGACAATGGTAATGTAAATGAACTGAAAGAGAACGAGACAAATCATTAAACCTGTCAATGTGAATAAATCAAAACAGAATGATGAAAAATGTTCAAAATGAAGATTTAAATCAAGAGAAATACTTTTTTTTGAATTTTGATGATCCTGAACATTAGAAAGACATTGACACTGATCAAATATGAAAGAACTTTTTAATTGAAATGGGTCAAAAAGAGTTGATGACATATTGTTTTTCAAAGATAGTCATGGTGGACGTTTTGCATGGTGGACGTTTTGAATCATCACAATATAAGTTGTTAATGGTAAATTGGCAGACAACTAGATAGAAGTTGGTATTTTCAATTTCTTCGGACAAGATCTTTGGTTTTTTGCTGCAAGTTGTTTGAGACAGATAAACTTTGAAAAATATTTGCCAATTGGGTAATGATGGATACAAAGATTGACATAATGTGAATTGGCGTGTTACAAAACTTGAAGTGGGTAATAAAAATATATGGTGCATGACTAGTTAGATGTAATTGAAAAATAGACTTCAAACAAAACATACAAGTGATGAAAGCATACAATTGCCCATCAACAAAGAAAGAGAGCACTAGAAACAAGTGCTAACGAACACATTCGACGTGATCAAGCACGTGAGATTCAGTGTGTGTGTGTGTGTGTGTGTGTGTGTGTGTATATATTGATTTTAAGATTCAAAATGAATTGATACAAACATTCGCAGGCGAGGTGAAAAGTGCAATTGTCATAAAAGTGAAACATGCAGATTATTTTTCTGCTGTACTTGATTGTACTCTAGATGCGAGTCATGAGGAGCAAATGTCTTTAGTAATACAATGCATGGATGATTTAATAGACTTGTCAACGGTACAAAAAATATTGACTTGAAATTTTTGTCGAGCTTAAAAATTTGTTAAACAGTTAACATAGTTTTGAGCTTGATATTGATAATATAAGAGGTTACGGGTATAACAATGGAGTTAACATGAGTGGGAGAATAGATGTGTTCAAAGAAGGTTATTGACGATGACTTAAATTCGGAGTTGACAGCTTTGAAGTGCTATCTACCTAGAGAAACAAAACGAACAATTGATGTATTACATTACTTGAAGAAAATGAATGGTTGTTTCTCAAATGTTTGCATTACTCACAAGATTTTGCTAACCATGCCTGTTTCATTAGCATCAGCGGAAAGAAGTTTCTCGTTGTTGAAATTGATTGAGAGTTATCTTCGATCAACTATATAGTAACAAAGATTGAATGGATTAGTCATGTTATCCATTGAAAAAAATTGTTGAAAAATTCAACTATCTAAAATTGATTGATATATTTGCTTCACGAGTTGTATTTAAGTAATCCTTTAGAACATCTCCGCATTCTTATTTGATTGTAATATAAATATTTTGAATATTTCATTTTATTTGTTGATTTTAAGTTGACAAGTTTAGTTCTGTAAAACTCTTATAAATGAAGAAAATTGATTGCTTTATACTATTTAGGAGTTCAAATTCTAAAGTTCGTCTCAGTCAATGAGAGCCTCACTACAGCACCACGTACAATGTGTTTTCTTGTACTTCATGATGATAGTTACCATTCTCCAACTACTCAATAATGTAATTGTTCTTAAATATCAACATTTAGGGAGTCCACAAATATAAGCAAAAGATGTGTATAGATACCATGTATGAGCAGTTGTACAGCTTCTATAGTGACTCTGCATCAATGCTAGACCAACATAACAACACGATTAGTATCTCTTCTTCACAAAAGGGATCAGAATTTGATGCATCTCTACTGTTAATTGCTAGTAAGCTATGCATCATAATGTTTCTCAAGTCAAGTCTGACATTGGTCATTGTCCATATTGGTGTAACCAACACCGACACCATTGCTTCCCCGAGTTGTACCATTGTAATTGTAAATTCTTAATAGTGCAGTAATGCAATGGTTATTATTTGTTGACACTAAATCAATTTATGCATCAAGTGTTGAGTTTGGAAACATGAACATTTTGCTAGATTTAGGGGGTGTTTGATAGGCATTTTTATGTAAAAATGCATTTTAGAATAGTAAATTGATGTGAAATGTGTGGTTGAAAAATAAGGAAATTTTTTTGATTTACGTATAATATTATTTTAATAAAGAATGAGAGAAAACTACATTTTGAAAAAAATGGCTACCAAACGGGCTCTTATTTGATTTGATGTGGTTTGTTGTTAGTAACTTAGGGGGTGTTCTCTTTGTGTTTCAGTTTTGTGTTTTGAGTTTTGAATTCATTTTGAGTTTTGTATTTTGAGTGTTTGTTTTGAAATTGTTGAAAATACGTTCTTTTTGTTAGTTTCTCAAAACAAAAAAAATAATTTTTTTTTTAAAATTTTGAGAATCACCACACCACCACCTCAAAACATCAAAAAAAAAAAAAAAAAAAAAATTAATTTTTTTTTTTTTTTTTTAAATTTTGTAAGTTGGATTGACTGGAGGAAAGTCCCAAGAACTTCTCATTTTTCCATCTCCTTATATTTGAGCTTTGATGTATTCACCTAATCATTCTTAAAAGTTACTTCATCAAACATTTAAACCCCCCCCCCCCCCAAAAAAAAAAAAAAAAAAAAAAAAAAAGAAGTGTTTCCCGCGTTTTCAATTTTTTCAAGTTTTACATTGAAAACGCCCAAAACGACAAAAAAGTCATTTTGTGTTTTCTTCACAAATTTTTTTTCGTTTTCGAAAACGTTTTCGAAAATTCGTTTTCGAAAACGGGAAAGAGAACACGTTTTCACCGTTTTGAAAAATCGAAAACAGAAAACGACCCGAAAACGGTAAAGAGAACAGGGCCTTATTGTCTTGGAAAGTTGTTGATTTTCATTGATAAGTATATTATTTTTAAATATTCTTGGATTAAAGAAAACTATGCTATGTTCACATTAGTTTGTTTGCCTCAAATTTTAAAATTTTATTGTCACATCCGTTCATAACAAGAAATCATTATTGGTAACTCTTTGGGTTTATAGAAATTTGGGACGTTACACTAATATCGTTCTACATACTCTTTGAGATCAATAAAAAGGTTGGAAGGAAATATATTGAAATGCACCCAAGTAAGGGCATTAGCCAAGGCGAGAAGGCATGCATTGAGCATTATTTAGTTTTGCCCTTTATGGAATCTTTTAAGTTCTCTACTTTTTTGGTTTGTTCATAGTTTTATGTGTTTTTAGGGCAACCCTAGAAACTAAAATATTAAATTAGAGAAGAAATGAAGAACCTACCTGTGCCCTTATCCATTTGATGTTTCTAGTTGCAATTTAGACTTTGAAAATTTTGTTGAAATGTTTTATTGTGGAATTTTTAGATGATTGATGGTCTTCTGTGAGTATAATATTCTTTGATCCTTATAATTATTTGGTTGAGGCATACACCTTCAAGTGATTTGAGCTTATACCTCCGATGTATGCATTTTGCTACATTACCAGATTTGGCCTCTTTAAACACTGGCCCCAATTCAATACTTTCTTCAGGAAGAATATGATGCTTCTAGCAATATATTATTATGTTCAAAATTATCTTTAATTGGTTTTAGGATAAAAAAATCTTTACTGGGTCACAAGCTCATGCTCTTACTCGTCATAAACTTTGTTCTTCCCCAAATACTCTTGGTCATCACCTCGCTAAATTTTGAAAGATAAATGCTAGTGTTGCTCAGGATATTGTTGTTCTTTTCAGAACCTACTATAAACCAATGGGAGCTGCTCGAAAATCTAAAATTGCTTAGGTTAAATTAGTGTTTCATAAATTATGATGGAAAATGGAGTTCAATAACTGCACTCTTTCATGTACAGTAACATGCATAAGGGTACCCCTATGGAATGCCAAACAGATACCTTGTATTAGGGATACTATTAGATGATTGGCTAGGTGCCTCCGATGAACCCCACCCTGACCAAAAAGAAGTAACAATTGAAAAAAAAGGAATAATAAATTCAAAGTTGGAGAAAAAATTTGCCTCTCCAGTTAGGGAGTCCGAGAAACTCTAGTACATAAACAAAATGATATTGGGTCTTGGTCTCGTTGCAGTTTTTGGGAAAGTGAAGGATTTCCTAGGCGTTATATCAGAATCAAACAGAAATCTGATGCAAGAAGCCAAGGTATAATAAGTACTGAATAAAAGAATGGAACTTTTTCGTTTTTCATCTGATTATTTTCTGTTTGCACTAAGTTTTTGCTACTGCTCATGGCAAAATACAGGACAAACCTGAAAATTATGACATTGAAGTCCTGAGTGGAAGAGAATCTGAATACATTGAAATGGTAAAGATTATCTTCTTTTATTTGTTCATGGTGGTGGGGGAGCAAGTTTCACTTACAACTGATTCGTCAATGTCTATGTTCCCAGGACTTGATGCTGGGTGTAGCTGATCTTCATACCCCGGAAGCTGTTGCTGCTGCAGAGTCTGCAATAGCTGGTTATCAACCGATAATTCCCTTGGCCGCCGATAGTAGTAGCGGGTCAGAATCTGAAGATAGCAGTGGCGATGACGATGACAATGTTAAGGACGACGAAGAAGAAACTAGCAAACATTCTGCAAAATTTTGTTCCAAGGTTGCTGAAAAGGATTCAAGAATAGCATCCAGGAATCAGAAATCTAGAAAACGTCGAAAGATTGTTGAGCTTTCTTAGATTTTGATATTGTATCACCTATCTATTATCTTGTAATAGGATATATTTGAGTTAATTTTGAGACAATAACAAAGGTCAGTAAACTTTTAATAACTAAAACATTTCCTCTAGAGCGAGCCTCCCTAGAAAAGAATTTTAGAGACTTAGCTTTGTTCTCTTTGTTGTTTTCAAGCCGTTTTCTATTTTAAATTTTTGAAAACAGTGAAAACGTGTTCTCTTTTACGTTTTCGAAAACAAATTTTCGAAAAAAAAAAAATGTAAAGAAAATGCAAAACGTCCCTTTGAACATTTTTTTGTACAAAACCCGAACTTCTTGAAAACACGCAAAACAGGAGAGAAACCATTGCCGTCTCCCTTCTCTCTTCCGTCGTTTCTCTCTTCCTCCTCTCCTCTCTTCGCCAGCTTCAGCGTGGGAAGGCGACAAAAGTGATGCACCGATGACGGCGCCGGCGTGGGGAGGCGACTCTGTTGTGAACGTGGCACCGCAACCCATTCGTTTGGGCCCGTCTCTATCTCTCTCTCTTCGACGCCGATTGCGGTTTTGGGGAGGCTGTTGGATTGATGGATGTCGGGAATTTGGGGGTATCAGGAAAGATAGATGTCGATGCATTGGTGAATATTATAGGCATTCGAAGTCTTAGCTTTATGTCAAATTCCTTCTCAGGTCCCATACCGGAGTTTCATCGAATGGGAGCCTTAAAGGGCTTATATTTATCAGGTAACCAGTTTTCAGGTGAATTTCCTTCGGATTATTTTTCGACGATGAGTGGATTAAAGAAAGTTGGGCTCTCTGGGAACAATTTTACAGGTGAAATTCCATCGTCATTAGGCCATCTCCAACCCAACACCAAATTTTGCACAAAATCTTGCACCAAACTAAAATTCATCTCCAATCATTACACCAAAAATTACACCAAATGAACAGTATTTAACCATTTTCTTCCCTTTTTTTATTCTTTATAATCTACTTATTTGAAATATTATTTATTTAATTATTTCAGAAATACATAAATTACTAAATAAATAATTAATTAATCGTGTTTGATGTATTTTAAATTATTTTCGTCTTTTAATTAATTATTATGTTTTACATTTAAAATTTATTTTAAACAAAAATAATTATTAATATTAATAAAAATAATAATAATTTATTGTATTAAAAAATATATAGCACAAATTACATAAATACCCTCAACAAATTTATTTGGAAAATGTAAAATAAGGGCAAAATGGGCATTTTACACTTGCACCATTTTGGTGCAAAATGGTGCAAAGTTTGGTGTTGGGTTGGAGCAATTTTGCACCAAAAAATGGTGCAAAATGGTGCAATGGTGTTGTGGTTGGAGATGGCCTTAGTCCAATTGTCACATTTAATTGAGCTGCATCTTGAAAATAATAAATTTTCGGACAGTATCCTTTGTTTGAACAGCCTAGTTTGATATTATTTCACCTGTCTAATAATAATTTGGAAGGGCCTATCCCCCTGGATTGGTGAAATTTAATGCAAGTAGGGCTCTGTGGAGAAAATATAGGTAAGGCTTGTGATCCATCTAAAGTATCAATTAGTCCATCACCCCACAAAAAAATTGTTGGTAAAGAGAGTACAAGGATCTCGATTTGGTTGTTAATAGTTGTTATAGTTGTGCTTTTGGCTATGGCAGTGGGTTTATTGATGATGAGGAGAAGGCAAGAGCCTACTGATCTTATGATTAAGGAAAATCTTGATGATTAAGTTGATTTGAGTGCACCAAGTGTTGGGAAGAAGGATTTAGAGTCGAGCCAAAGGGGTTGGGCTCTAGCAAACTTGGCTTGAGTAGAAAGGGTTCGACTCGTGGGAGAGGTGTTGCAAATTTGATAATTGTGAACGAGGATGGTGGTGAATTTGGATTGGCAGATTTGATGAAGGCCGCAGCAAAAGGTCCTTGCAAGTGGGACATTAGGATCTTCATACAAGGCAACCATGGGCAGTGGATTGACAGTAGTTGTGAAGAGGATTAAAGAGATTAATAAAATGAGGAATGATCAATTCGACGCTCAAATGAGGCACATCGAAAGACTAAACACCGGAATCTGTTGACACCGCTAGCTTACCACTACCGTAAAGACAAGAAGCTATTGGTCATTGATTTCTTCACTAAACATTTTTGTTTTACATGTTTACCAGTTCTGTCAGGGAGCTGATTGTAGAAGAATATCAGGAGTTGTCTGCAAACCTTGTCATATTATTGTTGCATTGTACTTTTGGTTGTTCTGTTTGTTATTGCAAAAACATTGCGCATTTGTGTTTTTGAATCTTTTATGCTTTGATTGCGGTGTTGTTTGAAACACTACTTTTCGAGTCATGGGCAAAGTTTCTAGCTGTGATTTATATATTGTATCCTCTAAGTTTGTCACTTCTGTTCCTTTCGTAATTGTCCATGAAGTAATCTTGGCTGCTTGAGAGGCAACATCTAATCAAATAAAAGAATCTGGAAATTTGCATTCTCATATTCTTAAAACGGGGTTCTGTAAGTGAATGTTTGATATCCCATGTTCTTGTGATTGATGGTTATGAGGTATGCGACACCATCATACCTAAGGTTCAAGATTATGGTTGGCTAAAGAACGAAGAGTTTCACTGAAATCCTTGGTTAGGCTAGTGCGACAAAGAAAGGAATTGGTATTTTTGTACCTTGATGCTGTATGCCTTATCGAAAAGATGAATAAAAATTTGTGTAATTGATTTCAAATTTGCCAAGAAATGTAGATAGTTATTTTGTTGTTTAAGATGATTATATTGGGATTGTTTAAATTGATTAGAATGGTCTGGCCATTCTGTATTTATTCACGATTAAAAACTATCGCCCTGACTCAAAATGAGAGGGAATTTACTACTCATTATTGTATATTTTTCATTGCTTGGTAGTGATGGAAATAAAAAATAATTATAAATGGAATTGATTTTAAGAACTTCAAACAATCCAAGAGATATGGACGAGTCATTAGTTTTAATCACGGAGACGTGCATAATGGTCAAATTGGAAAAAAAATTGAAGTTGGTTACTACTTTAAAATACAAATAAAATCCAACAGCTAAAATGAAATATTTCTATAACGTTCAACTAATAGTGGGTGTTAATACTATATTAACATTAAACTGTTAAAATTTATTGAATAATCAGATTTCTCGAATAAAATATTATAAAAAAATATTCTGAAAATTTCAAAGTAAACGTGTTTTCCATTTTTATGTTTTGAAAAACAGTTTATCAGAATAACAAAGAGAATATATTTTCAACAATTTCAAAATCGACACTCAAAATACAAAACTCAAAATGAATTCAAAACTCAAAACTACAAAACTCAAACACGAAGAGAACAACCCCTTAAATTTTGGAAATTTTAACCTCTGGATATTCCGCGCCTAAAAATTAGTCGAAGAAGGTAAACTTGAATGGTACTTGTCCTAGAAGTGCTATTGATTCTAAAACAACCTTCTTGATTGCACCTTGTCTCATACCTTCGTTAATTGCACATTAAATAATTTGTCATTCATTGCGTCATTGTAGAAGACTCATGAATATAAATTGACATTTGATCGATCCTTTTTAATAGCTAAAACTTTTGAATTAAGTGGTTACCAAAATGTCTGAGATTACTCTGTGCCTCTAACCAATGTTGTATAGAGCATCTTCTAACTTTTGAGACCCGTTTGAACAATGGCCTAAAATGTTCTGCGCGGAAAGAAACACAAAAAATAGATATTATTCATTAACGATTGGTACACAATAGTAACTTCTTGGTTTATCATTGAAATTTGTTATTTAGATAAGGATAAAGTGCACTTATCGTCCCCAACCTTTGCTCAAAGTCGTAATCAAGTTCTTAACTTTTTTTCTTTTTCATCTCAATCACGTCCCCAACCTTCATAAGTTAACAAATTGTATTAAAATCAAATTTTGAGAATAAAATTTCTCTTCCCATCACTTGCCAGTTCCGTTTAAACTTAGTGCAAGTTTGGTAAATGATTAAATTAAAATATAAGAGATTATAAGCTGTAAGTCCTATAAATATATAGATAATAAGTGCCTAATTTGAATATTATCTAACGTCAATGTAAAATTAATTCTATCGCGCATTTATTTATCTGATCATCAAGTGAAACAAGTGGCTGGAATTCCATGAAAATTGGAAGATGTTAGTGCCTAAGGAAACTCACTCACTATTTCCACTCTGCTTGAATGAAGTTATCCTGGAAATGCAGAGAAAGGATGAGAAGTGGCAATTTTATAATTATTCGCTTGTAGTTTTTATGGCCTATGAGAAACTATCTCTCTATGCCTATAAACGTAAATGGAACCCGTCCATTCAATTACAAAGAGATAAAGGGAGAGAATGGTTTATTTATTTTACTAGTTTCTCCTTTGCAGAGTTACATTATTCAATTATTGCCATGAATCAAGGTATGCTTCTTGATCAATTAAAATTATATGTGAAAATCATGTATTCTAAAGATCTTGATATTCGGATTTAATTGCTTACATGCAGATATTATATTATAGTTTCATGACTAGAAGACTAGGGACAATCATTGGTGCTTGGACAAGCTTAATGTATTGAGAAAACTGTTGGCCTCACCAGATTGAGCCATGTTCCTTTAATCGTCATGTATGCAAGCTCGATGGTTTTGGAGAATGTGTACTCTAACAAGAACCTCGTTACCTCGTGTACTTATACAGGAAAATATGATAATTGAACTCTCGTATTGAGCTACAGTTCTGCCAGAAATATGTGTACAGTGCATAGGGTGTTTTCTTGGGAAAAGCTACGGTGTAAATATGGTTAAAGACTTCTAACTGCAGCCATTTCAGAATGAAGATTCGTCCAACGAGAAACATCATTTTTTACTGAAGTATGCTACAAGTATATTCTCACTTACATTGAGTTCGACACTTTTCCACGTGGCATCCATCATAGCCATTGATTTCTACAACACCGTCACATTACTGACTAAATTTTGATACATAGGTGGGAAGTCAAGATGAATATGCGTATAGCATAATTTTTTATATTTTCAACATTGTAAGCTGTGAAATTGAGTTAGATAGAGAGTGCCCCAACTTAATTGTAGAGTTGTATTGAGATTTTGACTTATCTTATAACGTAAAGTTAGTGGCTCCAGACATTTTTGGTGTTACAAGTAGAAAGATCAGGCTTAATCTAATCCAAGATATCTTGGCCAACTCAATATTCGACTTGACAAAAATGTTTTCAACAATTAAGAGGAAGACAACGCATACCAGAAATCCAAGAACCTTTCAAAAGTGTGTTAGACATGTACAACGCACCAATGCAATAACGAGGATAGTACGATGCTCACTAGGGATCTTGAAAAATTTGTCAACCAACTCAACATCAAATAGGTTCTCGTGAGTACATTCAAGTTGGAATATTTCAAACTTACAGTAAACTGAAATAAATACTTTCCATTCATTTGAGTCTTGTGAAATAACAACACCACAGCGTGCTAAGATAAATAAACCAGTATCAGATATAGTAATGCTCGACCAATTGTACAGATGCCAGAATAACGTTGAAAATTTTATATGTTGACATTAAATATATATTTGGAACCAAGCTACCAAGAGTTCGAGTGCTACGAGCAATACACAGAGTTTCGAGATGGGCATGAAAAAAGAACCAATCTTAGTGTACTTAATTCAAGCTAAGTTAGAATAAGCGAAGCCTGGAACATGCTTCAAAATGGATTAACATGACTGAGGACTGTCAAATTGTTGTTACAATGGATTTCTGTTCACATCTTTATACAGCAAATAGCGTGATTTCGTCTTGCCAAGAGCAGCATACCTGAAAAAAGTTGAGTAAATTGAGTCACTATCGTGACATCAATATAAAGATAAAGATCGCGTAAGCCCTTTTACTTACCACTGAGGCACAAATGGTGCCATCCAAATTGTATCCCCAGCTTGCACTGGATACCTATTCCCCATCAAAAACAAGTACAAGTCAAGAGAACAGGAATTTTTAATGGCGGAAAGGTATTTTATAATATTTAGATTGATTAATAAATATTCTTGCATCCAATAAGCAGAAATGCGTAAAAGAGTAAGACCTATCGTCTTTGATGATATTCCAGGACATGGATCTTAGACAATGAAGATGATAAAGAGACTATTTTTGAATCTTAATTTCCAATATGAAAATATTCTCTAAGCATATCTAACACATCTTTCTAGTGGAGCGACGAAATCTTTAAAAGAAAAAATATAAGTTGCAGATTCTTCTCAGTTTGAGTGAAAATTTCAAGCAACAAAAAATATATAGGATTTTCTTTTATACTTTTATATATATTTATTTAATATCGATGAGCAGTACAGTACTCCTGACAGTTCTATTGATGGGGATGAAGCAAGTATATATTAAGAACTCAGAAATAGCCAAACGAAATATGTGTCATCTCAATGCTGCATGAACCAACCATTTACAGTTGTTTTACCCCCAAATAACGCCAAGTTGTTTCTACAAACTTTAAGGTTTCTTTTTACATAAATGGGGCAGATATATTGAGTGATACTCTTAAGAATTCAACCCAACTTCTCAATTTTCTAAGCTAGATAGGAAAATGAGTCAACTGAAATAATAAATGGAAAACATAATAATTTGGGCCTTTTAATAGGGGGTTGATACTTAAACAGGAACTTTAGGGATCAAATTGCATTAGTAAGGATTTAATATTTCTTTTTGTTGGGGTGTGAGTGTGGGGATTACAGTAAAAAGAAAAGATTTCTACAAGCAAGGGTAATCAAAGCAATTTCTGGGGCATGGATCCTTAAAGAGGTTACCATGAGGTTTTAGAGCACTATTACCCTATGGCGACGTATGCAATCTTGAATTTCTGACAAAATTATCCTGTCTTTTCAGAATATTTTATGCAGCACAGTTCAATTCTTACCAGCTATCCCTCAGGCGGTAGATACCCTGCCCTTCCAAAAGCAATAACCCATGTTGGTTATAGTGGACTTCCTGTCAACATGCCAAATACATTTAAGATAATCAGAAGTTAAAAGCTTTCAGAATCAAAATTTTAGGCACATCCATAATGACGAGAAATAATCAACATTTACTTTAAATTTTAAAATATCCACAATGAAACCGTCAAATTTAAGTAGATCCAACATCAGTGGATAATTGATGATACATTGGAGGGAACTAGGAATGTGAAATCAAACATAACATAAAACTAGTGAAAGCAAGTTCAAGAATATAACATCTTCATAACATTATTGACTCGATATTTTGTTTCAGAGCTTCAAACAAAGCATCCTTGTTTCAGTATTATTCCACAAGATGAGAGAAACTATAAGCAGCAACTTTTCAAAGAAAAGAAATATCATGTCATACGACTCGACCAAGAAAGCAACATCAGCCTCATACCTTTACATTGAGGAATTCCCCTGGTTGAAAGTCCATTATCTGTCAAATGGATAAATTAGACGAAAATAAGTAGCCGAATTTGGGAATCTAACATTCAAAATAAGAAAGGACTAGCAGAAGGAGAAGAAAGAGGAAGCTTTGTTCAAGACATTTTCTCCAACTTCGATACTACAATTTTTGCATCAAATCATTCATTATTAATGCACCACATTCTGCAAGTAATTCTTGTTTAAATTTTGAGTTATTGGTACTACATAAGAAACTTTAGATGAAAAGTAAGACAGTAGATTTAGATAGGACCATCAGGATGATGGTATTCATTCATCACGGGGATTAAGTTAAAACTTACATGAATGTTGAAATCGTAATGCAAAGAAGTTGGAAGAAGCTTCCTAAGCTCAAACACCTGAGGGCGGAGAAGAAAAATGAAATGATGGGATTTAAGCATAAATAACAAGGAGTATTCCATAATGTAGCTATAAGTTTCTCCATTATAAATTCAATAACCATATACGCATGCTTTAAATCAAAACCTAAGCTATAAATAGGTATGTAAAAAATATTGATGTTTAAGAAACTCAAAGATAACAATGTTTACCTCGCCTGGAGTTTCAAGAAGGGGCTGCTTATCTGTTGAACCAACAATTTGCTCGACAATATGATTTTCCAAATAGGCATACCTGAATAAGGAAAATTATGCCACTATATGTCATAAAAAAAATAGTACAGTCATAATTCTAAGATAACAAACAACAATGTCTAAAACTAATTTCCTCTTTGATATTTCATGATCATAATTGATCCCGGTTAACACCATTAGAGTGAAGTAAATTACCACTGAGCCTAACAATGCTGAGCTTCAAAGTGAAAAGCAATATTTGAATGTGGATGATATATGACTAATGGATTCTGGGATAATGGTATATAGAAAAATCAAAAGGAAGAAACCTTCTTTCAAATACAACAAGTGTGGCAGATGCATCAGAGTTCAAGGAATGTTTAGAGTTTGGAGGAAGATAAGCATATGAATCCACCTGCAAATTTCCAGAAAATATTTATTAACTTCTCTTCATGGTTATATAGATCATGGCATACACTGATCAAGGTTTATTCGACCTAGAGAACAAGAAGGTAGTTTTAATGCCGAATTATGAATCTATATTACAGCAGCTCCTTAGACATTAGATACAAAGACCTATAGGTGACTACAATGTGGTAGTCAACCAGTTTTTATTTATTATCAGTGTGATTAAATAATTTCCACACCTAATTTAAAAAATTCATGATCAATACAAGGTTAAGTTGTCCCTAAAATGTGAAAAACAGAACAAATGGAATTACAAGTTAGCAGTTATACCTCTAGTTTGTGACTGATGGCTGATGCATCGATGAGAGTCACCGAACCTTTAAGCACAAAAACAAATCTGAATGTGCAAGCACAAGAAAGACAGCCATAGTTTATCAAATGCAAAGCAAACCTTTAATACGATCCTATGCAAACTGGCTTTGCATTATAATATTAAAAACAAAACTCTAGTCTAAATTTCTCAAAGTGGAAAGTAAAAGCGTCCAGACCTCTCAACATCAATAGGTGGCAATCCCGATTTCGAGTTTTCTGAAGAAAAATGAACAAGGATTTTTAGAACAATGTAAAAGTGTATCAGAAACAAGATATAAAACTTTCAAAGCATATTGTCCACATTCTTATAATAAGTCTCTTTCGCGGTTATCATCAACTCCAAAATGTTAACTCAAAGCCTCAAATACACAGCACCTGAAACAATAACTTGAATTTGAAGCTACAGAAGTCACTAAATTTCCGAATCTCACCTTGCATCTTTGCCAAGAACATAACAAAATGCGAGCCAATTGCCGGTGTAATTAGATAAGCACCCATTGTGTTAACCCTGTCAGTTCAATCAAATTTCATACAATCTCAAACTAAACACGTTTTCTAGTTTTGTAATTTGAAAAATAGTTTTTCAAAATTACAAACCAAATACAAAGAGATCCTCAAAAAAAAAAAATAAAAAAAAATGCTAATCTTCTTGTTGATAACTAAAACCCAGACCAAAACTCCGAAAACTTTTAATTGGAAAAAATGAGCCCAGACAAGCCTAGCATAATATTCTTTTCTCTACAACCAGATACCAGACCAATCGCACCGATTAAACACTCATCCACATATAAAATCCAAAAATTGTATCCGTTTTTCAAAGGAAAAAAATTATGGAGTAACCTTGAAGATGAGAGGGCGAGAGCGTTGGGTTTGTTACTTTCCAATAGAGCGGCCGGTCAGCACTCAAGATTGATGGTGCAGAACAAAACCCTTCTTGGGAAGTAGAGAATTTCAAAAGACCTGAAATCAGTTCGACACTAACAACATAAGTACCAGAAACTTCAAATTTTCATTTTCATTGTCATTGTCAAAATGAAAAGTTGAGAGGAAAAAAACATTAATTTACTCAGAATGGTCAACAGAACGAGGTGAGGATGGACTGAAGATGATGATAAAGATTGCATCTTTGCGACGATTGCCGTGGTTTTTTGGCCTCCGGATGTTTCGCCCGCTAGTGTGAGTTTCAGAATTCACTCACTACAGTGTTGTGTTTCTCTATTTGTCAGTGGTTTCTTTGGGCTTTTTTGCATATGGGAGCCGAGTCAGCTGGCTAAATCACACTAATCTCCATTCAGCGTACCATATCTTGAGAATTGTTGAAATATTCCATCGAGCACAGGAATGGACCACATATAATTAAGAACAACACAATAGGGAACATCTTGTACGAGAACAAAAGGAAGAAATATTTTGTAAAAGGAAAACCAAAAAAAAAAAAAAAGCATGAGGAAAATAGAGAAAAAGGAAACGAGTAAATTTAACCAATAATCACTGAACTTTACACTTGATTACTACTTGCTCACTCATCATTCACAGATTACTGAATGTTCAGTCATCTTTTCATATAATTACTCATTCACCACTCGTCTCTTCAAATAATTGGACGACTTTTACGACAAATTTTCGACAACTTCCGACCACAAAAAATGTCGAATTTTGATACCGTTGGAAAGCCCGCGATATCCTCTTCAATTACCACCCAAAATCTCATTATAACTTTGAGGGATTCGATCGAAAAATTGCCTTAAAAATTGCCCAAAAATTTTGAAAATTTGCCCAGATTTTCAGATTTTTTGGGCAACTTTTAAGGCAATTTTTCGGCAACTTTCGACCATCAAAACTATCAAATTTTGATACCATTGGAAAGCTCACAATGTCCTCTTCAATTACCATCCAAAATTTTCCTATAACTCCAAAGGATTCGGTCAGAATAAACCCACAAAATCAGCATCTTGAAAGGGCGAAAATCTGGACAAAGTTCGGGACGCTGACTTTGTGGGTTTATTTCGACCGAATCCTTTGGAGTTATCGGGAAATTTTGGGTGGTAATTGAAGAGGACATTGTGGACTTTCCAATGATATCAAAATTAGATAGTTTTGATGGTCGAAAGTTGCCGAAAAATTGCCTTAAAAGTCGCCCAAAAAATCTAAAAATCTGGGCAGATTTTCAGATTTTTTGGGCGACTTTTAAGGTAATTTTTCGATCGAATCCCTTGGAGTTATAATGAGATTTTGGGTGGTAATTGAAGAGGATATCGTGGGCTTTCCAACGGTATCAAAATTCGACATTCTTTGTGGTCGGAAGTTGTCGAAAATTTGCCGTAAAAGTAGCCCAATTATTTGAAGAGACGAATGGTGAATGAATAATTATATGAAAAGATGAGTGAGCATTCAGTAATATGTGAAAGATGAGTGAGCAAGTAGTAATCAAGTGTAAAGTTCAGTGATTATAGGTTAAATTTACTCAAAAGGAAACTGGCTAATTCATTTAAAATGACAGCCACCAAGTTTGGTGAAGAGGAAGGGTCACACAACCAAGACACCAATTTGGTGAAGATCTGTAAATGCGTATAGGCCGGCAGTAATTTGAGTTATTGCTATTATAATGCAATATTAAAATCATAAGAGATATGTTATGGATTGAGTTTTGTTGTACATTACCTTGAGCTAGTCGATGTTTATGAGTTTTTGTAAATATGAAAAAATTATAAAGATTACTCTTCATTATATCCATTTGCTTACGCAGACATTTGAGTTTAGTAGAGCACGTAATATTGTCTTGTTTTGCTGTTTAAGGTGGTTGAATCGCCCATGAAGAGAGTCGGGTCAAGAACAGTCGGCAGGGGTAGATCAAATTGCAAGATTTTGCTTCAAATTTTGGAATTGGGAGCCCTTGAGCCAGGATTTGGGACTGAATTGAGAGTGGAATGGTTTCTTGCATTGAATTTCAATTTGACTTAGGTTTCTTTGGTTTGGAATTTGGGTTTGGGAGTTGGGACGGTTTGGGATTCTTTCAATTGGAAATTGGAAGGGATTTTTCATTACTTCATTTTCAATTTTATTAATAAAAAATCCTTTTTAATTGGTGGGTCACGTGACCCACGAGGATCAAATGTAGGTCCGTCAGTGATTATATCTATTCAATTGTATCAAATTATTTTTCTTAATATATGAATGTATGATTAACACACAATCTTTTCTTTTAGAGTTATTTGTAATCTCATAAATAAAATCTTTTACTTTGTAATAGAAACATAAGTTTATTGTATACAATTAATAATATTCAAAAAAGGTATCAAGGCTTCTTATCTTGGGTTAAACTCACAATCAAAATCGTTTTTCGGTGATGTATCTTTTGATCCTTGGACCATGGAACAGGGCAATTTGATTGAGTCAATTTAAATTTACAATCTCAATTAGGCTGTCATTACATTGTATTGGGTTCGAAGGAGATGTTTAAGATTGGAATTGATCTCCTCAGTGACAAGAAAACCTTAATTAAGGTTAAGATTTTCTTGCCATATCAACGGTGGAAACAGGGCAAAAGATCTTACTTGTGCAAATATTATAAAGATTATTATTTATAGTATTTTCTCAATTGTGTAGGATTATTATTTTTTATTTAACATTGATTGTATGATATGATATCGCACAATCTTTCCTTTTAAAATTACTAATAGTCCTAAATACGATCTTCTACATTGTAACAGGAACACAAGATATATTATATACAAGTTATAATGTTTTAACATGAATAACTTGTCAAATGAAATAGCAACCCCCAAAAAATAAGTTTCTTTGTTGTAGATCAGTTTAAATAAGAGTTTCAAAAGGTCCGTCGAAGAAAATGCCTCATCTTGCTTCCAAGCAGGAAAAGCGCGCCTATTTGAAAAGACACGTGGACTTTTTTGTCCCATTGGTGATATTTTCTAGTTTTGAAGTTCATCTTAACAAAATACTCAACAATTGCTAAAATCTTAAAATAAAAATTCCAACCAAAATATACCCTAACCCTAATTCAACCTACAAGCATCCACGAATTTTAAGAATTATGTTTTTGTTGAAAGAAAAATGCTTCTTGTGTACAGAGTACACCCCTCTCACATAAAAGAAGACCCACATTGATTAAAAAATTCTTGGGCCCTCTCGCATGTGAGAGGGCTGTACACTAGAGTGTAAAACTCTAGTGTACATGTAGCATGACTATTGTTGAAAACTTGAAAAATGTTAATGAAGTTCCTTGAAATTTTCAAGGTTTACCTTATTCTATTAATTTATTTGTCTACAAAAATTAAATTGATATTAAAAATCAGAATTACTTTATTATGCATAGCTTCGCCTAAGCACGCCTACGCTCGTAAGGTTTGAGGATTGACGTCCACGTTGATGTCTTACCCTTTAAGAATCATTTTTCAAACTAGGACTTTTAAATTTGATTGAACTCAAAGGCGACTCAATACAAGGCCAAGACACTCAAATTTTAAGAAATTTCATTCCAAATTACTGGCGAAAATTTTTTATGCTGAGAAGTAAGAAAAATAAGTAAATATCATTAGCAATTAGGATAAAATTAAAAATAATAACTTAACATTAATAATTGATTTTTTTTTTCACCTTTCATAATTAAAAAAAATAAATTATTTTAATATATTTTGTTTAGTCAGATAAAATAATACCTTTGAAAATTATGTCGCTATCTAAATAACTAAAACAAGATATAAGATTACCCACGATATTATAAAGTTTATCCCCACTCCAAGCTTAAACCCATGTAAATGCAAGAGGAAAAAAAATAATAAAAAATAATGTTATCTAGTTGAAGTATCAGTTTAGGTGACCACATTTGATAGGTTCAATTGAATAAATCATGTGATATTCCATTCAAATGAATCTATCATTTAATGATATATAGTCGTCATCTAAAGTGGTGCTTGACACTAGTGGTGATGAATAGCATTATTCAAAAATAGTAAAAGTGCGTCTAGGCGTGAGGTGCAATCCGCGCCTTGGCAATAAGCACAAAGTAAGCAGTCAATTGTCAAATTGATCACTTAATGCGTGATCAGGTGAGCTTTATTAATTTTTCTTAATTTCAAAATTTTAAATGATTTTATCTATATAAAAGTCAAAAATGGAAACTTGAAAATTGAAACTATGCAAAATAGTCTAAATTTTGCATTTCGAAAACTTGAAAATTGTATAATTAATGAATTATATGAATTATTTAGTAAATATAGTATTTTATAAATTTAAATATTTGGTAAGTATTATTTTAATTATTAAATAAATTTTAGAATGATTAAAAATTTAAAATAATATTGAAGATAAGAAAACACACTTGAAGCTTGAATATTGACCTTCACGTTTAGTCACACTCTATGCTTTTTAGAATACAGCTAAAAAAATAAAGAATGCAATTTCTAAATAGTCATGACTTTTCTAAAGTGACTAAGTTGGTTCATACAAATCACACACAAATATGTTCTAACCCTCTCCCTCAAATTGATGCATAGATATTAAACACACCCAACTTGAATATTGACGCATTTAATAGACCACTAGTAATTTCACGTGTCATTAATTCAACAAATTGATGAGCGCTTTTGATGTAACCACAATATTTCCATGTCAAGGTTATCCTTGATGTAGTTCCTCCCGATGTCAATGTGCTTTTGTTCGATCATGTAATAGTGGTCTATTTGCTATCTCGATAGCTTTCATGTTATCACAAAAATCAGCATGGGTTTACTTGAACCAAATCTAAACTCATAATTCATAAGAATCTTCGACCAAGTAGGTTTAGTGGTTGCATTGTGCAGTTATCAGTATCCAACTTGAGCACTGACAATGCTATTTTATTTTGTTTCTTACTCCTACAAGTTATCAAATTGCCTCCAACAAATGATACATCTGTTGATCTAGATTACCCACCAAAGTCCAAACTTGTATATCCCACAATATCACGATGTTCATGGTTCAAAAACTAAATACTTTTGCCTGGAAAGGATTTTAAATATCAATATATCACTAGGAATATGCATAAATTGACTCAAAATACTCACTTCATATGACAAGTAAGGTCTCATGTAAGTCATATAAATTAACTTTCCTACTAGTCTTTGATATAGCTCTTTATCCGTATGAGTTTGATCATTGCATATAGATAAGCATGGTTTACCTCAATAAGAGTCTCCACAAGATTGTACGTTGAGTAACATGTTTCTGCCAAGATATCTAGTATATATTTATGTTGGGAGAGAATAAATCTTTATTTAGATTGAGATACCTCAATGCCCAAGAAGTACTTTAGAGCACCCAAATCCTTCATTTTGAACTCTTGGGAAAGATAGTTCTAAAGTTTCTCTCTGGGGTTGCTACACATATAGCAATCATGTCATCAACATAACAATAAGTAGTACGATATCCTATTATCCTCGCCCTCCCTTCCATAAAATAGAACGTGATCTGCCAGCTCCTGCTTAAAATCGTACATTTTCATATAACGACTTATCTTCCCAAACCTAACAATTGGTGATTGCTTCAAGCCATAATAAGCCTTCTTCAACTTACATACCTTACCTCTTGGCGATGTACAGCTCAGAGGCAGGCCCATATAGACTTCTTCTATTACATCACTGTGGAGGAAGGCATTCTTAACATCAATATTCTCTAATGGTCAGTTTAGGTTAGCTGTTAGAGATAATATGATTAAGAGAGTTCATCTTGACCGATGGAGCAAAAGTCTCCACATAACCTATCCCATAAATCTATGTTTAGCATTTGCAACCAGCCTAACTTTATACTATCCACTGTCCCATTAGATTTGTACTTCATTGAGAGCACTCACAATCTTCCTCTCCCATGGTAGCTTAACCATGTCCCAATTAGAGTTCTTTCTGGTGAGTATTCATTTCTTCTACCATAGCAGACTTTCACTTGGGATCTGCAACAGCTTGGCGAAATTGACTGATAGACACAAAAGATAACTGAAGGAAAACTGCTATGTGAGTCTTAGATAAGCGATTGTAAGAAATATAATTAGAGATGAAATAGACATCATTAGACAAGGATTTCAAGAATCCTTGATATCGGGTTTTTTATGATCGTGAAGCAGGTATCTCTTCCTATGATTATTAGCTATTGGATTCAAGATAATAGTTTCTGAGTCATTCAGGGGCATGGTAGTATTGTTAGGGCGAGTATTCGGAAAGAGCCCGATAATATCATCAGAATCTGGCTTGGGGTGGACATTGGATCTCCTTATTTAGCCAGCATCGCTCCAACTTGATCATTCTGACTGTATTATATGGTTCTACGTTAGAAGTTATAACATTTATTAAAATTTGAGATTCCATCTTAAAATATCAACTTTGTTAAAAGGAACAATCCAAACTTTTATAATTTGATCTATATTTTCATCTTTATTCGATGTGAAATTTTATTTCTTAACAACATTTGCTGAAAAATAGTGGCTCGAGCGGGTATATTATTTGAAAGAACACAAATTAGATAAAGAACGAAAATCTCATATATATTTCCCAAATGGGTTACAACTTTGTATACAGAATCTTGGCTAGAAATAATTGCTGAAAAAAATAAAAAAATAAAAAACCCTTCCAATAGGCAATACTAAAGAAAAGTAATATAGCTGACATCGTACAACGACCAACACTAGAGATCGTAACATGACTCTCTCTTTCCATATGAACATGGATCAGTATTATTTGTATCACTATAACTACATTTTACAGCATGAACCTCTAAACCAGCACTATATGATGCTGAAGAACAAATCACTAATCGATACAATTTCCAACTTAACCTCAGGAAGATGAAAGCTGATTATTCATCTCACAAGTGTAAAGCCCAGATAATGGTATTTTATGTTCTTACATGCTTCTTCCACGAAGTAGCGCTGTACAATAAATATGACCTGAAAACAGGGATAGACCATATGAAGTTGGCAGATATTCCTCGTTTTATTGCCGCAGAATTAATCATACCATCTCTCACTGCACTCCTAAAGTGCTCCATGCATTATGTTAAGTCTATGTCAGCCTCCATTCCTGGAAATATAAATTATAAGTATGAATATTACAGAAGATGACTTCGTTGACTGGAGTATTTTATTTAACATTTCGAAGCAAGAAAAACAACAGTTTTTCATTTTGGAAGGAGAATTATAATTTCCGCATTTTGCAACATAGCTACTTTTCCAGCTATTTCTACTCTGCCTTGTATTGCTTACCTACTATGTGGTAAGTATATCATTTCATATGGAGCTAGTCAATCTTAGAAGTTGATCCCTTCTGCAAGATTAAAGCCTCACTTATATACATACCTCAAAGACTTCTCAAGGAAATGATATATAGGGAAGCACGGTCATAAATTTCAGAAACCATTATGTCACATATCATATTTTGTAATCATATATTTGCTAAATCTTCAGGGAAATAAAATAGAAGAAACCATGACCTAAACATTTTCAGTATTGTTCATTAAGTAGAACAAACTTAACTTGATACAGGCAAAAACTCTTTCAAGTATATCACAAAACACATGAAATCCCGAGCTAGGATGAAGTCACACGAGATAAAATTTTTACTTTATTTTAGTCTTCTAGTAGTTTTTGGGCAGGGAAGTTCTACCTTTTATCTGGAGGTTAGGCCTACCCCTTTCTAAGTCTGTTGATGTGATCCATGGCACAAAAGCAAGTCCGGGCAAGGATCCATTGATCGTTGAAGAATGGCCTATGACTAGGTCACGAGCGAAGAGGATTAAAAAAGCAATGAGACTACTCGCTCAAACCATGGTGGACGAAACAATGATCATGGCAAGCAAAGAAACAAGACTCGTGTTGGACTTGGGAGAAGAAACACGATGGATCAACTTAGTTCAAGCAATAGACGGATGAGCTGAAACGAGGTCCTATGTGATCGCATAGTGCAAAACTACATGCGACCACATGTAACCAGGCAAAAAATCCAATCGAAAAATTGAAGAGTTCTATACAACCGCAACCAATATAACTATACGACCACATAGATCAAATTTTACGCGAAATTTCTCAAAATTCGCAAAATCTCCTAATTTAGTTAAAACTCTATATTTTTGATATCTTTCGAAATCTTTAGAATTTGATTTAGTTTTAACTAGGTTTACGAAATTTCCTAATTTAGTTAAAACTCTATATTTTTGGTATCCTTTGTAATTTTTAGAATTTGATTTCATTTTAACTAGGTTTACATGAGTTCCTTATATATAGAACTCGATATTTTCATTATAGAACAATTATTCATACATACAATTTGAGATTATTTGTGAGTATATTTTGTTTTCAATCTTGTTCTTCATTGAAAAAAATTTCGAACTTATCAAGATCTATTTTGTGATCAATTATTCATACATACAATTTGAGATTCTTGAGTTTTGTGATCAAGGGGTGTAACATATTGTCGGGTTCTTTGATTCAATATTTTTGGATCAAACTTTAAACATTGATTCTTGGCTTTCTTGATTGAATCAATCTTGCGTGGGGTTCGTAGCTACTATTGCTATGTGGGTTCGCATCATTTGTACTCTGTACTCTTTTACTTGGGTTATTAAAAAAAAAAAAAAATATATATATATATATATATATATAGAAACCCCATCAGAATGTTGTTAGTAAGGCACGCTGAATATTCAATCGGAGAGAGGAAAGCACTCTAAGAATGCATGACACACAAGAAATTTCAAAGCCTCAGAGCACGAGTGGAAAATTACCATGTGAAATGAGCAAGGATTCGATTCTGACAAGTATGGCAGAGTCGAGTAGCAGAGAGGGAAGTCACTGATGTCAGTCTGACTAGGCCCTTAATCAGCTGGCAATTAACTTCAAACCTTGGCCTCCCATTATAAGCCAAATCAGCAAATCTAAATCATTCAGTCCCAAAGAAGCGTGCAACAGCTGAATAAAGCTGCCCTTCATCAAATGGTTTAGATACATAGTCATCCATCCCACACTTCATGCATTCTTCATTTGTTGCCTGAATCACATCTGCTGTCATCGCTAATATAGGTGTGTGCCAATGAACCAAATTTTCAGACATATCAACTGATACTTCACCAGAATCAATTTTTTCATTATATTCACTCTCAAGACTGCGGATCTCTCGAGTAGCTTCAAACCTGCAAGATAAAGATCAATTATATTAAAAAAATATTATTTTTTCCTTACTGATGAAATCAGTAGGAACAATTCCAAAACCAGTTTGGTTGGGAAATAAGTAGGAGCATATAGATTCAAGAGCACAATCATCACATGCCAAGATCAAATTCAAAACTGTTTCAGCTGATACCAATGAAGCACAGTCTAGACAATAACAAAGCACTGTCTAAGGAAATTTCTACAAGTCTGGCATTTCTACTAGAACTGCTTCACAATATTAGTGCATGCAAGGTGTCTAAACCTAAGACCCAGACAAGATGTGCAACTATCTACAAATTTAAATTTCAAAATAATCCTTGGGTTCACGAGTATTGCACATAAAATTACGTATCATTAGGAAATATGATGGCTAAGAAACAGGAAAGCTTATTACCCATCCATTCCGGGCATTTGGAGATCCATAAAACAAGCATCAAACTTGTGGGGAGGCTTAAGCAACCCAACAGCTACCTTTCCCCCCTCCACACAGGTAACAACTGCTCCATATTTTTTCAGAGCACCTTCTGCCACTCTTCTGTTCACAGAAGTATCATCCACCACCAAAATTTGTTTAGCTCTGAGTAGAGTTCTTAGCGTTGATGATTTAGCCCTTGTATTATGCTCCGTCTTTCCAAATCCAGTAGCTTCTTGGAAGGTGAATGCCAATGCACTTAACCTTAAAGGTTTTGTTATCACATTATCCACTAGCCTGTCCAATTTCAGCTCTTTCCTTTCTGAAGAGCTTGTGCAGGTTGCTAACAAGAATATTTTCAGAGGGATCCCTGAATTATTTATGGAGCCATTTTGTTTGATCGTCTTTAGCAGGTTATGGAATCGAAAGCAAATATCTTTATCCCAACTGTCTTGGTCAATAAGAACCATAGCTAAATTCTCCAACACACTGTATACAGAATAACTAAGAGCAATTAGCAAAAACAAGGTCAAAGCACAATACCATGGTTCCAACTTTTCTACAATTTAAGCATGTCATAAAGTTATGTTTTTCTTCCTGGAATTTGTAAGAATTATGGCACTCATGTTACTGAAGTGCAGACTTATCATTATAGAAGTTGAACATAATTATTGTAGCAGAAATAAGAATATCTACTAAAACAAAACCTTGGCACATCTGCCTATTAAGGCTCTATAAATTTCTAGTCGTTAGCAGGGAAAAGCTATGATGCTCGGACTCCGGTATGGGTATCGGGCACGGCTACATATTTAAGCGTCGGATCTTTTATTTTCTATAATGTAGAATACAGGGACATGGATAAAAATAGTCTAAATTTTGGACACAGGTAAGTGGGTACGTCTTTCAAACTTTGATTTTTTTACTAATCCAATATGTGCATTTTGAATAGACCAAAATCAATTGTTCACAAAGAAGGAAATGAGTATTAAATAAGGGGTTAAGACGAATAAAATAGAATTTTATGGGAAATTAATTATTAAATGTTATATAAAATAAAAANATGCTTCTTCCACGAAGTAGCGCTGTACAATAAATATGACCTGAAAACAGGGATAGACCATATGAAGTTGGCAGATATTCCTCTTGTTTTATTGCCGCAGAATTAATCATACCATCTCTCACTGCACTCCTAAAGTGCTCCATGCATTATGTTAAGTCTATGTCAGCGTCCATTCCTGGAAATATAAATTATAAGTATGAATATTACAGAAGATGACTTCGTTGACTGGAGTATTTTATTTAACATTTCGAAGCAAGAAAAACAACAGTTTTTCATTTTGGAAGGAGAATTATAATTTCCGCATTTTGCAACATAGCTACTTTTCCAGCTATTTCTACTCTGCCTTGTATTGCTTACCTACTATGTGGTAAGTATATCATTTCGTTTTATTGCCGCAGAATTAATCATACCATCTCTCACTGCACTCCTAAAGTGCTCCATGCATTATGTTAAGTCTATGTCAGCCTCCATTCCTGGAAATATAAATTATAAGTATGAATATTACAGAAGATGACTTCGTTGACTGGAGTATTTTATTTAACATTTCGAAGCAAGAAAAACAACAGTTTTTCATTTTGGAAGGAGAATTATAATTTCCGCATTTTGCAACATAGCTACTTTTCCAGCTATTTCTACTCTGCCTTGTATTGCTTACCTACTATGTGGTAAGTATATCATTTCATATGGAGCTAGTCAATCTTAGAAGTTGATCCCTTCTGCAAGATTAAAGCCTCACTTATATACATACCTCAAAGACTTCTCAAGGAAATGATATATAGGGAAGCACGGTCATAAATTTCAGAAACCATTATGTCACATATCATATTTTGTAATCATATATTTGCTAAATCTTCAGGGAAATAAAATAGAAGAAACCATGACCTAAACATTTTCAGTATTGTTCATTAAGTAGAACAAACTTAACTTGATACAGGCAAAAACTCTTTCGAGTATATCACAAAACACATGAAATCCCGAGCTAGGATGAAGTCACACGAGATAAAATTTTTACTTTATTTTAGTCTTCTAGTAGTTTTTGGGCAGGGAAGTTCTACCTTTTATCTCTTTTATCTGGAGGTTAGGCCTACCCCTTTCTAAGTCTGTTGATGTGATCCATGGCACAAAAGCAAGTCCGGGCAAGGATCCATTGATCGTTGAAGAATGGCCTATGACTAGGTCACGAGCGAAGAGGATTAAAAAAGCAATGAGACTACTCGCTCAAACCATGGTGGACGAAACAATGAAAGTATATCACAAAACACATGAAATCCCGAGCTAGGATGAAGTCACACGAGATAAAATTTTTACTTTATTTTAGTCTTCTAGTAGTTTTTGGGCAGGGAAGTTCTACCTTTTATCTGGAGGTTAGGCCTACCCCTTTCTAAGTCTGTTGATGTGATCCATGGCACAAAAGCAAGTCCGGGCAAGGATCCATTGATCGTTGAAGAATGGCCTATGACTAGGTCACGAGCGAAGAGGATTAAAAAAGCAATGAGACTACTCGCTCAAACCATGGTGGACGAAACAATGATCATGGCAAGCAAAGAAACAAGACTCGTGTTGGACTTGGGAGAAGAAACACGATGGATCAACTTAGTTCAAACAATAGACGGATGAGCTGAAACGAGGTCCTATGTGATCGCATAGTGCAAAACTACATGCGACCACATGTAACCAGGCAAAAAATCCAATCGAAAAATTGAAGAGTTCTATACAACTGCAACCAATATAACTATACGACCACATAGATCAAATTTTACGCGAAATTTCTCAAAATTCGCAAAATCTCCTAATTTAGTTAAAACTCTATATTTTTGATATCTTTCGAAATCTTTAGAATTTGATTTAGTTTTAACTAGGTTTACGAAATTTCCTCATTTAGTTAAAACTCTATATTTTTGGTATCCTTTGTAATTTTTAGAATTTGATTTCATTTTAACTAGGTTTACATGAGTTCCTTATATATAGAACTCGATATTTTCATTATAGAACAATTATTCATACATACAATTTGAGATTATTTGTGAGTATATTTTGTTTTCAATCTTGTTCTTCATTGAAAAAAATTTCGAACTTATCAAGATCTATTTTGTGATCAATTATTCATACATACAATTTGAGATTATTTGTGAGTATATTTTGTTTTCAATCTTGTTCTTCATTGAAAAAAATTTCGAACTTATCAAGATCTATTTTGTGATCAATTATTCATACATACAATTTGAGATTCTTGAGTTTTGTGATCAAGGGGTGTAACATATTGTCGGGTTCTTTGATTCAATATTTTTGGATCAAACTTTAAACATTGATTCTTGGCTTTCTTGATTGAATCAATCTTGCGTGGGGTTCGTAGCTACTATTGCTATGTGGGTTCGCATCATTTGTACTCTGTACTCTTTTACTTGGGTTATTAAAAAAAAAAAAAAAAATATATATATATATAGAAACCCCATCAGAATGTTGTTAGTAAGGCACGCTGAATATTCAATCGGAGAGAGGAAAGCACTCTAAGAATGCATGACACACAAGAAATTTCAAAGCCTCAGAGCACGAGTGGAAAATTACCATGTGAAATGAGCAAGGATTCGATTCTGACAAGTATGGCAGAGTCGAGTAGCAGAGAGGGAAGTCACTGATGTCAGTCTGACTAGGCCCTTAATCAGCTGGCAATTAACTTCAAACCTTGGCCTCCCATTATAAGCCAAATCAGCAAATCTAAATCATTCAGTCCCAAAGAAGCGTGCAACAGCTGAATAAAGCTGCCCTTCATCAAATGGTTTAGATACATAGTCATCCATCCCACACTTCATGCATTCTTCATTTGTTGCCTGAATCACATCTGCTGTCATCGCTAATATAGGTGTGTGCCAATGAACCAAATTTTCAGACATATCAACTGATACTTCACCAGAATCAATTTTTTCATTATATTCACTCTCAAGACTGCGGATCTCTCGAGTAGCTTCAAACCTGCAAGATAAAGATCAATTATATTAAAAAAATATTATTTGTTCCTTACTGATGAAATCAGTAGGAACAATTCCAAAACCAGTTTGGTTGGGAAATAAGTAGGAGCATATAGATTCAAGAGCACAATCATCACATGCCAAGATCAAATTCAAAACTGTTTCAGCTGATACCAATGAAGCACAGTCTAGACAATAACAAAGCACTGTCTAAGGAAATTTCTACAAGTCTGGCATTTCTACTAGAACTGCTTCACAATATTAGTGCATGCAAGGTGTCTAAACCTAAGACCCAGACAAGATGTGCAACTATCTACAAATTTAAATTTCAAAATAATCCTTGGGTTCACGAGTATTGCACATAAAATTACGTATCATTAGGAAATATGATGGCTAAGAAACAGGAAAGCTTATTACCCATCCATTCCGGGCATTTGGAGATCCATAAAACAAGCATCAAACTTGTGGGGAGGCTTAAGCAACCCAACAGCTACCTTTCCCCCCTCCACACAGGTAACAACTGCTCCATATTTTTTCAGAGCACCTTCTGCCACTCTTCTGTTCACAGAAGTATCATCCACCACCAAAATTTGTTTAGCTCTGAGTAGAGTTCTTAGCGTTGATGATTTAGCCCTTGTATTATGCTCCGTCTTTCCAAATCCAGTAGCTTCTTGGAAGGTGAATGCCAATGCACTTAACCTTAAAGGTTTTGTTATCACATTATCCACTAGCCTGTCCAATTTCAGCTCTTTCCTTTCTGAAGAGCTTGTGCAGGTTGCTAACAAGAATATTTTCAGAGGGATCCCTGAATTATTTATGGAGCCATTTTGTTTGATCGTCTTTAGCAGGTTATGGAATCGAAAGCAAATATCTTTATCCCAACTGTCTTGGTCAATAAGAACCATAGCTAAATTCTCCAACACACTGTATACAGAATAACTAAGAGCAATTAGCAAAAACAAGGTCAAAGCACAATACCATGGTTCCAACTTTTCTACAATTTAAGCATGTCATAAAGTTATGTTTTTCTTCCTGGAATTTGTAAGAATTATGGCACTCATGTTACTGAAGTGCAGACTTATCATTATAGAAGTTGAACATAATTATTGTAGCAGAAATAAGAATATCTACTAAAACAAAACCTTGGCACATCTGCCTATTAAGGCTCTGTAAATTTCTAGTCGTTAGCAGGGAAAAGCTATGATGCTCGGACTCCGGTATGGGTATCGGGCACGGCTACATATTTAAGCGTCGGATCTTTTATTTTCTATAATGTAGAATACAGGGACATGGATAAAAATAGTCTAAATTTTGGACACAGGTAAGTGGGAACGTCTTTCAAACTTCGATTTTTTTACTAATCCAATATGTGCATTTTGAATAGACCAAAATCAATTGTTCACAAAGAAGAAAATGAGTATTAAATAAGGGGTTAAGACGAATAAAATAGAATTTTATGGGAAATTAATTATTAAATGTTATATAAAATAAAAAATGAGGAATTTGATTGCAATTTGAACTTAGTGTAGCACTAAGAAGCACTATATGAAACCCATTTTCATATTATATAAACAAAACCCTAAATCACCGATATAAAGAGGGGAAAAGGAAAAAGAAAGAAAGAAGAAGGAAAAACCTAATGCCGTAACTTTCTCCACCCTCTCAAAAGCGGCGCTAGGTATAAAGAGTG